ATGTGATCAGTGCCTTACTTGTTCAAGCTTAAGGGAAGATGTCCTTTGGCTCTTACAAATGAAATACAATGGATCTCTTAAGAGATCCATTTTTATACAATTGAGATTGGGCTGGGTACTTGCCTGGTTATACTTCCTGGTCATGAGAGTTGTCTCCTATTCTGGGGGTTGGGTACTGGCTGATTTATTTTTCCATTTGGCAAAAATCCTGTTAGTTTAAAAGGAGATAGTCTCTTTTGCTTTACTATTCTTATTAGCTCTGGATTGGAGGACAGAGCTTACCTTCAGGCTTTATTTTGAAAAGCATCTTGGGTAGGAAGATTAAAATGAAATAACCTCATGTTTATTGCATTTTCATATTGTGATCCCATTGAAATCAGGAGTCAAGTTGCATATAACAAGGAGGTCTTGCTTGATTATCCCTATTTTTGTAGTAGTTCCCATAGTAGGAATGGTTTTAAATTGTAGTTGTAAATTTTAGAGCTGAATATCATTTTGAAAACTAAGCATTTGTTTTACTTTGTCTAAAAGTAATAACTAATATTTATTGAGTGCTGAGTGACAGACACTGCTAGTGTACATAATAAGTATATATTGCGCATATGTATATATGTATATATTACTTAACCCTCACAAGTCCGGGAAGTTCACACTAAAGTTTTCCATATGATGAAACTGAGGCTCAGCAAGTTTAAGGAACTTGCCCAAGGTCCAAGAGCTAGTAAATAGTAGAGTGAACCTAGAGCATGCTAGGCTATACTGACTTTACAGAGCACAGATTATTTTATGTGTCTAGGAAGCTTGTAAATGAAATTGCTGTGGTTCCTTTGACCCTTCAGAGGGGCAGCTGGGGAAACAGACCCTCCAGAACCAGGTAACTTTCTTTTCCTTTTACTTCTCTGATTTCTGTGAGCTATCTACTTATTGTTACTGATATATAATTTATGAAATAAGATATGCTGTGCTTTCCCAGAGCAGCAGAGAAGGTCACTTACTAGTTTCCTTGGGGATTCAGATAGAGTCTGGAAGGTATAGTCCAGAAGGCATAGGAGGAAAGATGTATGTCTGTGTCCCCCCCACCAACACACTAGGCAAGTGTGGCTGTGCATAAAACTGGGGAAGAAGGGAGGTAGGGATCAGATGAAACTGGCTGTCCAGGCAGAGTATTTCCAGGATCTCTGGAAGGTATAAGGTCTGTGGTATAAGCTCTGTAAGGAACCTAACCTATAGGTTAGGGAATGAAATTTCCTTTTTTATTTTATATCTTTCATTTTAGAGGATTATTAATATCATTATGCTTATTTTCCAGACCCCCAACCCTCCTACTGCTGAGAAATGGCCTTTAAGAGGGAAATCCTGGAGGACTGTGAGGTCTTTTCTCTAAAGAGACTTAGTTTTTTCTTGGATGCACAGCAGATTGAGGTCTGCTACTTACTTTAACTTCAGAATGAAGCTGGGAAGTACTCTTGGAAGATAAATCAGTCCTAAAAAGTTTATCCCTTTAAATCAGCAAATACAAATTGCCTTTTTATGTCTTTAATTTTAGTTAAAATTGATTAGCATAGAGATACTTAATGGTATTTAATCTTGAAAAATCTTAATAGTTATCATGCCACGTACTGCACAGGGTTTATATTTCATGCTCAGGAATTATGTTGTATTTACATATATACCTAACAGTGTCTGATTTGTAGTATGTAGTATATTCATGAATATAACTTTATTTACTTACTTACGTGCTTACTTACCTACTTAGAAATAGCGTCTTGGTATGTAGCCTAGTCTGGCCTCAAGCTTGTGATCCTCTTGCCTCAGCTTCCTGAGCGCTGGAATTATATATATATATACACCACCATACCTGGCTAATGAGCATAGCTGGCAAACTTTGGACAGTAGTCATATATGTTTCTAACCAATTTTTAAAAGGTTGGTTAAAACATCAGCCAGGTCTGCTTATTGCCTTGTATTGGAACTTGTTAATGAAACCTTCCTATGTGAATTCTGCCCTTGAGAATGTAATGACATTATCCAAGGAGTTTCTTTATCAAGACAGATTCTCTCACATATCAAGTTAGTAGTATGCATTAGTATATCACAGGTATCTGATTGATATGTCAGGCTTTATCAATAATTCTGTCTTCTGCTTCCCATCTTCTCTCTTCTCTTTGCTCTATCAAAGTCATATTTATTCTGATCAAGAATTTTGCACCTCATCATTCCTAGTAGTGTATCCTGTCATATTCAGGAGAGTGAAAGATTTTTTGGTCACGCTGTCCCTTAGCCACTGTACTTTACAGAATCTTGCTCTTCTTTACAGGCCCCTTATTTTAGCCACAAAAACAAAACATTAAGGAATAACCATGGTAAACATAACAGAGTAATATTCTTTGGGACACTTTTATTTAAATTTTTTTTTTGGTGGTACTGGGGTTTGAATTCAGGGCCTCATGCTTGCTAGGCAGGTGTTCTGCCATTTGAGCCACTCCGCTAGCCCTGTTTTGTGTTGAGTACTTTTGAGATAGGGTCTTGGCAAACTTTTTTCCCTGGGCTTAGAACCTCCATTCTCCTGATCTCGAACCTTGATCCTCCTGATCTCGAACCTTGATCCTCCTGATCTCTGCCTTCTGAGTAGCTAGGAGTACAGGCATGAGGCATAGGTGCCCGGCTTTATTTAAATTTCTTTACTGCTGACATCTTTCTGACCTATGTTCTTGGAGAGCATGGCATTTCCCGTAAATGAGAAGTAGAATATTGCCGGACGCTGGTGGCTCACGCCTATAATCCTAGCTACTCAAGAGGCAGAGATAAGGAGGATTTCAGTTCAAAACGAGCCCGGGCAAACAGTTTGCAAGAACCTATTTCAAAAAAACAAAAAACAAAAAAACTATCACAAAAGAGGGGTGGTAGACTGGTTCAAGGTTTCAAACCCTAGTACCACCAAAAAAAAAAAAAAAGAATATTAGATTAGCCGGTGCTGGTGGCTTACACCTGTAATCCAACTACTCTGGAGGCAGAGATCCGGAGGATGGTGGTTTGAAGCCAGCCTTGGCAAATAGTTCCATGAAACCCTGTCTCGAAAAAACCCTTCACAAAAAAAGGGCTGGTGGAGTGGCTCAAGGTGTGGACCATGAGTTCAAGCCCCAGTTCTGGGGCAGAAGGGGAAGTAGAATATCAGGGCATTGAAACTCAGTGGTGGAGGGCTTACCTATGTGTGTGAAGTCTCAGGTTTGATCTCTGGTGCTGCCAAGGCGGGACAAAAGGTGAATATTGCTAGATGGTTTGAATTTTTCAGTTATGGTCACTTCTGAAATGTATTCTTTTTTCTTTTGAAGTCCTTGGGTTTGAGCTCAGGGTCTACATCTCAAGCCACTCCAGCAAGCCCTATTTTTGTGATGGGTTTTTTTGAGATAGGGTCTTCTGAACTATTTGTTTGGCTAACTTTGAACCTCGATCCTCCTGATCGCTGCCTCCTGAGTAGCTAGGATTACAGATGTCAGCCACTGGTGCCCAGCTGAAATATATTCTTGTTTTCAAACCCTTTAGTCATTTAACTGTACTGGCTTCAGATGTCTAGGGCTGTGAGGGATAATGTAGACACTGTTTAGCTCAAGTATAATAAAACAAATATGTTTTTCCTACCAACACTCCATCCATCTCCGTGGCTGCTTGTCAAAAAGGTGGCTTTGAGAACTTTTTGTGAACCCTGGGAGTGGGACTCTGGCCTTACCTTATAGATAAACACAAAAAGGTGAAGAGAGTTAAATGTTGCAATAAAGGGCTAGAGTTTACACAGAGGCTAGACACTGCCAGGCTTATATCTTGGATTATCTTTAACTTAAAAAAAAAATCACTATAAAGCTGGCTTTGTTTATTTAATAAAGACAGGGTCTTTGTATGTAGCCCGGGCTGGAACTCATTATGTAGCTCAGTGTGGTCTTGAATTTGTGATCTTCCTGCTTCAGCTCCTGAGTGTTGGAATTGCAGGTGTGCATCATCACACTTGGGTTTTTGCTTTTTATTTTTAATATTTTTATTAAATTTATTTTTAGTTTTGAAAGTTTTTATTTAGTTGTTTGAGACAGGGTCTTGTCATGCAGCACAGGTTGACCTGGAACTCATTATGTAGCCCAGGCTGGCCCCAAACTCTAAATCATCCTGCCTCAGCCTCCCAAGTGCTGGGATTACAGGTGCGTGGCAGCACACCTGCCTAAAGCTGACTATAAAAAACTGTTTCTAAGGCTAGGTGTGGTAGAGTGCACCTGTAATCCAGGCTACAAGGAAGGTGGAGATGGAAGGATCCTGGTTTGAGGCCAGCCTGGGCAAAAAAAGTAATGAAACCTTATGAAAAAACAAGCTGAACATGGTGGTGCATGCCTGAAATCCCAGGTACATAGTATCCAGGGTCCGAGGCCAGTCCCAGGAAAAGGAGACCCTATTTGAAACATAACTAAAGGAAAAAAAAAAAAGCGTGGGGGGCTGGGGAATGGCTCAAGTGGTAGAGTGGTTGCTGTAAGTAAGCACAAGGCCCTGAGTTCAAACCCTAGCACAGTAAAAAAAAAAAAAAAAAAAAAAAAAAGACACCCCCCCCCCACACACACACAGCCAGGCACCAGTGGCTTACATCTGTAATCCTAGCTACTTGGGAGGCTGAGGCTGAGATAAGGAGGATGTTATTTCGAGTCTAACCGGGGCAAATAGTTCGAAAGAGCCCCATCTCCAAAATAACCGGAACAAAATGAGGCATGTTTCAAGCGGTAGAGTGCCTGCTTTGCAAGTGGGAACCCTGTCAAAACTCAAGCCCCACCAAAAAATCACAGCTGTTTCTGTAGGGGCATATTTTCCTTGTCTTCTCACCCTCCAGTCTTTCTCATAGTATCAATCTAGGTAGGAGAAGGGTAAGTAGAGGGAGTGGAGGGGGTATTCCCTCTAGAAAATTCCAGGTGACATAAACCCTGTTTAACCGCCAGTATTTTTTTCCCCCTTTCTCTCCCCTCCTGCAGAAATGGAGGCAAACGACCATTTTAACTTTACTGGCCTTCCCCCTGCACCTGCTGCCTCAGGACTGAAACCCTCTCCTTCCTCAGGGGAGGGCCTCTACACTAACGGGTCTCCCATGAACTTCCCCCAGCAAGGGAAAAGTGAGTGTAAGGGCCACATGCCCTGGGGAGGGAATGGGCATCATTTCTTTAGGGCAAGTTGATGGGGAGAGATTTGGTTCCATTTTGGTCTAGCTACCCTACAACTCTGATTTCTGCCAGGTAGTGAGGGAAGAAGTGAATCCACAGAACTCCAGCTGCTGTAGAGAAATCAAACTTCTGAGAACAAGTTCTAGTGCTTTATGGAAGTAAATTTTTAGTCTTGACTTAAGGTTGGGATGAGTTCGGGAAACATACTGCCTTTTTCATCTTAGCCTGCTTTTCTATCAGTCCTATTCCCTGGCTACTGCTGCCGGTAATCTTGGGGTGGACCAATGAGAGCAAGAGAAAGAACTGGCCCTCTGAGAAGCTGTTTTTAGAGGTTGGAGAAGCTGCTTTGGGAAGGAGTAGGGGTGAGGAAAGTGGGTGAAGGTTGGTATGTGTCTGCCTTTTAGTTTGTGCTGCAGAGAAGAGGGCAGATGGTGGAAGTACCTGTGCCACCTCTTTTCCTTGAGTAGAAGGTAGGAAAAACGAAGGGTTTAGCTCCCTGAAAGAAATTAATAATTTCAGATGGAAGTGTTGCTTCTTTCCTAGACTTATCTGTTACTCTGAACCATTAACTCTACCAGCTACCTTTCTAATGTTGCTTGGAAGCAGAGAAAAGCCCGCATACTTTCCTCCCTTCCTTACAGCAGAAAAATACAGGTTATTTACATGTCTCCTACCTATCCTCTACAAGGAACTTACAGATAGATGGAAGCTTCTTTATTTCATTGTGTCTCCCCCATTCTTAGTATCTTTGTTCATTTTATTTGATTGTCTTCTCATCTCAGAAGTTGCCATTAGTGTTGAGAGTTGAATTCTTCAACATTGATCCTGAAATATTTTTACCCCTGCATATTACCCTCCAGGGTAATATGGGGAGGGGCTAAGCCCAGCTTTCTGAGCTGGAATCTTGTCACTGTGGTGTCTGCAAATTCTACTCTTAGCTCAGTATGAAATGCTGGATCTGCATGTGCCAGTGAGGTGGAGGCTGTCCCTTCTGGTGCCATTGTGGGGCCAAATAGGGAAAGGGGGGCCTGGAGAATTCAGTCATGTTCCTTCAAGGGAAGAATTCCCCTAAGGAATGAGAGTTGGGAAGAAGTGAAGTCATCATAGGGATTCTGCATACACCTTTATCTAATAGAAAGCCCGCAGCAGCCATCTCGGCTTGTGGCTCCTGTGGTAGTGAGTTCCCCAGCCCCCTACCCAACAGTTTCAGTAGCAGTTGCTAAGCTTATCTCCACGAGCGTCTGGGATTGGTGTTCCCCAGAGATAAAAGCTAAATATAACAGGGAATTCCCCCTCCTTTTCACCTTCCCTTTTTTCTAGTGAGAGCTATTACTTTGGGTTTCTTTTGGTAGCATTACTGTGTATATATATAAAACCGTAACTGGTTCAACTGATTCCTTTCTCTCCTTTTCTACCAGGTTTGAATGGGGATGTGAATGTTAATGGCTTATCTACTGTATCTCACACTACTACTTCAGGGATTTTGAACTCTGCTCCCCATTCCTCCAGCACCTCACACCTCCATCACCCCAACGTGGCCTATGACTGTCTCTGGAACTACTCACAGTACCCATCTGCCAATCCTGGCAGCAACCTCAAGGACCCACCCCTTCTCTCTCAGTTTTCAGGGGCACAGTACCCTCTCAACGGCATCCTTGGGGGCAGCCGGCAACCTTCATCCCCAAGTCACAACACTAACCTTCGGGCTGGGAGCCAAGAGTTTTGGGCCAATGGTACCCAGAGTCCCATGGGGCTTAACTTTGACTCACAGGAACTATATGATTCCTTTCCTGACCAGAATTTTGAGGTGATGCCCAATGGACCCCCAAGTTTTTTCACCTCCCCACAGACTTCTCCTATGTTGGGATCTAGCATCCAGACCTTTGCACCCTCCCAGGGAGTAGGCAGTGGGATCCATCCTGATGAGGCAGCAGAAAAGGAGCTGGCTTCAGTTGTGGCAGAGAATGGCACTGGCTTGGTAGGCAGCCTGGAACTGGAGGAAGAGCAGCCAGGTATAACTGGGCCCATGAACTATGTGGGGAGAGGGAAAATGGGGCTGTGGGAGACAGTGGTTTTTTTGAGGTGAGGAAAACTTGTCTTTCCAGCTCTCTGCAGTGGAGGCTGATTTGCATGTTGGTGATTAGCAGAGCCAAGTGGCTGGTGTTTTTGTGGCAGCAGCACCAGCTCGTGAGTGGGAGTGCAAATTATTTCAAGCTCATACAGAGCTGCTGGCCTGGAGAGGGCAGGTGGGCAAGCCAGAAACAGCCCCAACAGGAATTCTGTGTCAAGAAGGGATTCTTCCAAAATATATGAAAGGGTTAGGGCATTAGCCGTGGGTGATGAGGCCATTTAAACTATGGCACAGTCAGGTTGGCTGCTAAGTAGGCTGAGCCCTAGTAATGACTGGTATGTGAAGAAGGAAAGAAAATAGAGCATACCATTGCTTGTCTATTCAGTTTCCTTTCTTCGTTGTTATTAGCATTGGTACATGTGACAACCCTCATTTTTTCCCTCGACATAGTTAAAGTCTTAGCTTGCAGTTGATAACCAATACAAAGGTCATCACCCTGTAAAATCACAGGATGTTTTCTTTGTTCCACTTGTTGAGAAAGATATCTGAGAATATGGTGGAGTTCTTGTCTCATGCCCTACTTCCTTTCCCCCTTTGTTTGCCTACTGTAGGGACTGGATTTACTAGCACATCTCTGCTTATTTAGAGTATCTTGATGAGATTGGTTCTTAACTGGCACTCTTGCAGCAATGAGCATTGATTGAAAAAATATCCTTGTAGTAAAAACTAACTGCCTGCTATAGAACTAGTTGAAGGCATCAATTTTGATTTTGCACTCTCCTATAATTCCCTAGAACTAAAGATGTGTGGCTACAATGGCTCTGTCCCCTCTGTGGAATCATTACACCAAGAGGTCTCAGTCCTGGTCCCTGATCCTACAGTGAGCTGTTTAGATGATCCTTCGCATCTTCCTGATCAACTGGAAGACACTCCAATCCTCAGTGAAGACTCTCTTGAGCCATTTGACTCTTTGGCACCAGGTGGGCTTGGAAGCTGGATCCCTTCCACTTATCCAAGCAGAGGGTACTTAGCCAGCTCCTACTACTTGGAAGAGGTAGTAAATGAGGGATAGTGTTAGGGAATTTGGGATGTTTGGGTTTCCAGATAATTCTGCAGCAGACCAATGGCTTGGCCTGGCCAACTGCACTCTGAGCTGAATTGGTTCATTTCCCAGGTTCTTTCCCAGTGTTCCATTTGGCCAGGAGCCCTGGGCTGTAATAATTCACTGAATAGAGACTCAACTACCACACAGTTGGGCTATTTTGGTTCTAACTAACTAGAAAGAAAACATCTAATGAACAATAACCTTTTCACCCTACTGAATTATAAGAAAGACTAGCACTGAAAGATGTACTTCCAGCAGTAGAACCCAGTTCCACCAAAAAAAAAAGACTTTATGTTATAATAAATGATGCTAGAATTTTATAAGGGCCTATGGTAGATACATGGTTGATACCTTTCCCTTCATTTTCAGTCTCATGACTTTGCTCTTTTAGAGGGCTGTAAACGTCCCCTAATATTTAAGAGTCTTGATTGGTGAGTTGCTGTATAGCTATAATCCCAGTACTTCAGAAGCTGAGGCAGGAGGATGGAAAGTTCAAGGTCAGTCTGAGATACAATAGTAAGACCCTGTCTTAAGAAAAAACAAATTTCACAACGTGGAAACTAGAATTTGATATTTTTTGGTTAGTATTTCTTAAGGAACTCTTGCTTGCTGTTTTTTCCTCAATGTCCTACTTTCTGACTTTTTTTCACACCCATAAACAGAGCCAGTGAGTGGAGGACTTTATGGTATAGATGATGCAGAGCTGATTGGTGCAGAGGACAAGCTGCCTCTTGAAGACAGCCCTGTGATCTCTGCCCTTGATTGTCCCTCCCTCAATAATGCTGCTGCCTTCAGTCTCCTGGCAGATGATAGTCAAACATCAGCCTCTATCTTTGCCAGCCCCACTTCTCCACCCGTCTTAGGGGAGTCTGTCCTGCAAGGTAAGTAGAGGCTAGAAGTAGGAAAAATAAAGTCCTTGACCTGAAAAAAAGTGAGAGAATAGGTTCCATAGTTGGGGCCTTAAGGATAGTGTACAGTGGAACTAAAGAAGCCACAGGCCTTTGTATTCTGACATGTGTCCTCAGTTCAGAAGAACTTGGGAGACTTGGCAGTTTGCAAGGAAAAGAAGGTTAGAGGCATTTCTGGCTCCAGGTAAAAGATGTTTCTTTACATGATGACAGCAACAAGTGGGCACTGGTAGTGCATGCCCTGAGTTCAAACCCCAGTCCCACCAAAAAAAAAAAAAATGGCAGCAGCAGCTTTGCCCTTCAACCTTCATAAGTGACCGGGAGTGGTGGGTGGGTGTGCCAGAGCTGCTGCTTTTTGTAACCCTTGGAAAAAGCCCTTGAAGTAACCCTGTTTAGCTTAGTCTAGGTTTTAATGAACAAATTATCTTTTATGTTAAGCCTTTTTTTTTTTTTTTTTAATCTACATTGTCTCTGAATTCTAGATAACAGCTTTGACCTGAATAATAGCAGTGATGTAGAACAGGAAGAAATGGAGACTCAAGCTTCAAACTTCCCACCACCCCTTACCCATCCAACCCCTGACCAGTCATCCACTCTTCAACTGCATCCGGCAGTCTCATCAACGGCCTCCCCAGAAGTCTCCCTGGCAGTTTCTCCAGCAGCCTCCCCAGAAATCTCTCCAGAAGTTTCTCCAGCAGCCTCCCCAGCAGTCTTTCCAACGGTTTCTCCTACTTCTTCAGCAGCCCTCCCAGCAGTTTCCTTAGAAGTCTCCTTAACAGCTCCAGTGGCCTCCCAACAAGCCTCCCCTGTAAGTTCTCCGGCAGCTGCTTTTCCACCAGTTTCCCCAGCAAGTAAGGATGTTCACACCTTCCCTGAAGCTGTTGCTGACCTGGAAGAGATCACTGGAGAAGAGGTCACTACTTCTGGTAGTGGTGAGTGTCCAGTGTCTACCCCTGGCTGGTTCTAAGAAAAATTTATGTCTATTGTTTCATTTATTCTTTCCCTAGTAGCCTATTATTTCAGCATTTTGCTTGAACTCTCTCTTAACTTAGGTATCTTGTTTTCCTTCTAAGGTGATGTCCTGAGGAGACGTATTGCTACCCCAGAAGAAGTTCGTCTTCCCCTTCAACATGGGTAAATGCTCTAGATTGCTCCATGCGTTGACCTTAACAACTATAATGCATGACTCTAGGAAGAGGAGAGCTTCTCTCTCTGAGGTGGGGGAAGAATGGGCTAGACAGGAGTCGATTATAGGACAATTATCTGTAATCATAATATTCCTTGGCTGAGATCCCTAGTTTTTCTCTCTCAGGGTCTATCTTCCCTTACCTATTCTTTCTTCATCTTGTGGTGACTCAGTCTTGATCAAGGGGCTCCAGCTATTATCTCCAAACCCTACCTAAGGCTCAGGTATCCAAACTAACTGGCTTGTCTTTTTTTCATAGAGAAGGAATAGTAATGAATGAGGAGTGGCTTACTACCAATGAATTGGGTATTCTGTTGTGATTGTTTTTACTTTAACACTCTTGGGAGAGTTAAGTGCTGGAACAGTAACTTGACTGAATGAGGAGGCTAGCTGACACCAAGCGCCTTGTGGAAATAACTGTCTTCTGGTTCTTACCCCACCCTAACCCCTCTAGGCTACTTGTCATCACCAAATCTGAGTACTACTTAAAGTTTGAAAGAAAGATAAGGCTTAGTCTTCAAATAATCTGTTGCTCAAAACATAGAGTTCTTCACTAAACCCTGGTATACTGAGTCATTTCATGGTCTCAGGAGCAACTTTACTCTTCTGCTTGCTTCCCCATCCTCTGTCCTTCTGTCTTTTCCTTTTTACTAAAACTCAGTAATTGCCCTGAATGGCATCAGGGAGGGTTTCTTGCTGCTCATCTCAGTAATTTTGTTAAGAAGGAGGGATGGAGGTTGGGCTAGTGCAATTTACTTTATCGCTTTCCTCCTGATGGCCCTGAGATATTTCCTAGAGCTCAAGCCTGCCTTCTAGTCAAGCTCGTGTCTCATGCTGCTTTTGCATCTGCACGCAGGACTAGGGAGACAGATTTGGGAGGGTCCTCTGCTCAGTGGGCTTGGCTCCTGGGTGGAATGGGAGTGGGTAGGGGTGTGACCTGGTGGCAGGGCCCATGTGCTTCTCTGGCAGGTGGCGGAGAGAGGTGCGCATCAAGAAGGGCAGCCACCGATGGCAAGGGGAGACCTGGTATTATGGTCCCTGTGGAAAGAGGATGAAACAATTTCCAGAAGTTATCAAGGTAATTTATCTTTTTTTGGCATTACTGGGGTTTGAACTTAGGGCCTTGCACTTGTAAGGCAAGCACTGCCACTTTGAGCCACATCTCTAGTCCTGTGGGTTTTTGTTTTGTTTTGTGGGTTTTTTTGGGTGGGACTCTAGTGTGAACTCAGGGCTTTGCACTTGCAAAGCAGATGCTCTACCACTTGAGCCATATCTCCAGTCCATTTTGCTTTGGTCATTTCCTGAGCTGGCCTTGAACTGCAAACCTCCTGATCCCAGTAGCTAGGATTATAGGTATGAGCCACCAGCGCCCTGTTTCTCCTGTGGGTGTTTTTTGTTTGTTTTGTTTTGTGGTACTAGGGTTTTGAACTTAGGGCCTTATGCTTGCTAGGCAGGCACTCTACCTCTTCAGCCATTCTAGCTTTTTTGTGTTGGATATTTTTGAGATATATCCAAACTGTTTGCCCGAGCTGGCTTTGAACTACGATCCTCCTGATCTCTGTCTCTAAAGTAGCTAGGATTGCAGGTGTTAGCCACTGGCCCTCAGCTCTACTATATTTTTAAAGGACATACACACTCTTTTTCTTGGGCCCCGTGACAGCAAACTCTGGGCCTATTCTGCTTGTGACATTTCTGGCCAAAGACATGGTAAGGCTATAGTTTCATTAATACTGCTTTACTTCTTCCTCTCTTAGTACTTGAATCGCAATGTGGTACATAGTGTCCGTCGTGAGCACTTCAGCTTCAGTCCCCGTATGCCTGTTGGAGATTTCTTTGAAGAGAGAGACACACCAGAGGTGCTGGCCTAAGGGTTAAATATGATTTTGTCTCTGAGGAAGAGTTGGTGAACAAGCTGTAGCTTCCTCTTGTGGGGGTGGAGGTTCAGAGGGCCTGCTGGCCTGCACTGATTCTTTCCCACTGTAACACCATCTTTTCCTTAGGGCTTGCAGTGGGTACAGCTCTCAGCAGAGGAGATTCCATCCAGGATTCAAGCAATTACTGGCAAACGGGGCCGACCTCGAAACAATGAGAAGGCCAAGACCAAGGAAATCCCCAAGGTGAAACGGGGTCGAGGTCGGCCACCTAAGGTCAAAATCCCTGAGCTATTGACTAAGACAGACAGCCGCTTCCTAAAGAAACCAGAGGCACAAGGTACAGTGGTATTACTTTGGAATTGTCCTTCCATGAGGTGTCTTGAAAAATTGCTGAATTGTTGATACCTGGGTTTCCCAGTAGTGTGACTGAATCTGTGGACAGAATGAATCTGAATCACTTCTCCTTGGAAGGCAGCATTAGGGTCCCAGCACTTTGGCACCTCTTTTCCAGCCAGTTTCTCCCTTTGACTTGCTCTCACTTTCCCTAGATACAGTCATATGGCCCAGAAGAGAGGCCTTCCATGCCATTTCTTACCTGTTTTAAGATCCTTCTTTATACTGATTTCAGTTGTATACTTTTTCTTTGCTCATTACCACTGTTGTGGAGATTCTGAATTCACACCTGAATTCTAAAGATAGTTGGCACTATTTTAGTGGGATAGACAGGTGGGAAATGTCTTTTTTTTTTTTTCTCCCTTCAGTAAGTATTGCATTTACCCTGGCATGGTGTGAAGAATGTGAAAAATTTAGTCTTCTGATTCTCATTCAGAATTCCAGCTCTACCATCTTCTGACTATATGACCTAGAGTAAATCTTATATTTTAAGAGAAGACTTAAGTTGTTCATCTTCCCATGATATCTAACTCAGATAAAACCATGAAGATGTATGGCTGTGTTTCTATATCAGAAACAAAATAATAGGTGCTGCCATGTCAAAAATACCAATTACAAAATACACTTGTTTGCAAAATTTTATGTCCATATTCAGTATTCCAAAAAGGAAGATAATCAGATTTTTAGTGGAGGAAACCACTGGAGCTGAGCATATAAGCAACAGCTGTCAGTGTTGATATGACTGTTGGAAGTATTCATTATCTGCTCTTTGTGGCATACTCTTGGTTAATCAGTGCTCCAAAATACTACCCTTTTCTCCTGGTAGTTTGGCTTTTTCTTTCTCAGCACTCTCTGCACTAAAAATCAGCCTGCATTCCTGCCCTTGTTAGGTAACCTGGGAAAGAGACAGGCTGCAAGGATATAAGCTGCCATTGTGGCTTCTTTTCCATCAGTTGGACTACTTTCCATGCAGTTAAGTTAGGGCCAGGGACTGCTGCTTCTGGACAGGAGATACTGAATTCTTTCTACAACCCCATGGTTGTCCCAACATTTTATTGTGTACACTTAAAATAAGTACTCTAGGTTGTTCAGGGAGTTGCTTAAGAAGCCAGCTTTGTGATAGGTTATGTGCGGCCCTGGATGCCAAGCATCGGGTTTCTTGCCTCACTCATTTCATTTTTCTTTCTGCCTTCACAGAAACACTTAATGAAGAGGATAATAAAGCAAAGATGAGTAAAAGCAAAAAGAAGATGAGGCAGAAGGTACAGCGAGGAGAGTGTCAGACTCCTGTGCAGGGGCAGGTGAGGGACATCATTGGGCTTACTTTTCCTACAACCTGGTTCATCTTTTCTTCATCTCCCACATCTGCTCCCTGCTATATAGCAGCATATATTCATTACCCTGAACTTTCTTGGGCTTGATTTAGAGAATTGGACTTGTTCAAGGATGATGTGGGCATCTCTAGGGTGAGAGAATTGATCCATTGCCAACCCCTCATCATCCCATCTCTTACCTCTCCTCCCCAGCACCCTTGTCTGTTTTTGAATCCTAGCCCAAGCAGAGATGCTTTCAGAGTTTGAGGAGAAATGACTTCCCTTATGGTTTACAGGCCAGAAACAAGAGGAAACAAGATACCAAGAGCTTAAAGCAAAAGGACACTAAGAAGAAATTTAAGGTACGTGCATGTACACATTTGGCAAGTCTAATTTTTTCCTGCAGTGTTGGGGATTGAACCCAGACTAGAGCTAGGCTAATGCTTTACCACTGAACTACATCCCCAGTTTCCAAGTCTAATTTTTAAGTCACCGAACTGATTTTTCTGAACACTTAAGGTTGGGAGGGGCTGGGACCAGGAAAGAGTGGTGACTGGTATCTTTATGACATCCTTGTGTTTCCCTTGGTTGTGCAGGCTGAGAAGGAAAAGGTAAAGATAAAGCAGGAAAAACTGAAGGAAAAAATGAAGAGGGAAAAGAAAGAGAAGGTAAAAATGAAGGAAGAGGTAGTCAAAGCCAAGCCAGCCTGTAAAGCAGAAAAGACCCTGGCCACACAGAGGCGCTGGAGGAACGGCAGAGGCAGCAGGTGATCTTGGAGGAGATGAAGAAACCCACAGAGGATATGTGTCTGGCTGACCACCAGGTAGTGAGGGGAAAGTAACAGTTCCTGGGTCATGGAGGGACCAGCTCTGAGGACATTTCTTTTAAAGAAAGGACCTCTGGACATTCAAATTGTTGCCTCTGCTAAGTCTAACAGGACACCTACCACTTTTATCCCTCCAGCCCCTGCCTGACTTCACACGCATTCCTGGTTTGACACTGCCCAGTAGAGCCTTCTCAGACTGCTTGATTATCGTGGAGTTCCTGCACAGTTTCGGCAAGGTGCTAGGCTTTGACCCTACCAAAGATGTGCCTAGCTTGGGAGTCCTGCAAGAGGGACTCTTGTGTCAAGGTGACAGCTTGGGCAAAGTGCAAGATCTGCTGGTGCGGCTCCTGAAAGCTGCACTCTATGACCCCGGCTTGCCTTCTTACTGTCAGGTAAGCTCCTTTCCTAGGCAGGCTGGGAGGGCCTGCTTTGTCTCAGTTTTGCTTTCTCTTTAAGAGAAAAAGAAAAGTCCTACCCTAAAGTCTGGAGAAGTAAGGGAGATGTAGCTTCTTCCTGCTTGAATTTTCCTTATATTTTTCCTGTTTCTTTTTCTTTCTGACACATCTTATTTTGTTCATTTTCCTTTATCTTACTCCTTTTGTAGTTTTCCTTTATAGTCTTTTCATCTTGTCCTACCAATTTGCATTCTTTTCCTCTTGTTCTATCTTGACCCTATAGTTTTCTCCCAGGTTTACCCAATTTGAGTTGTTCTTCCTCTTCCAAATAGTCCCTAAAGATCTTGGGAGAGAAGGTATCTGAGATTCCACTGACAAGAGACAATGTATCTGAGATCCTGCGCTGCTTCCTCATGGCATATGGAGTGGAGCCAGCCCTCTGTGACAGCCTGCGTACCCAGCCTTTTCAAGCCCAGCCACCCCAACGGAAGGCTGCTGTCCTAGCCTTTCTTGTGCATGAGCTCAACGGCTCCACACTCATCATCAAGTGAGAGGCAGGGGGTGGGGATGGTTATCCCTTGCCTTGTGTCAGAATGAGGTGGGGGAGGGGTTTAGCCATCCAGAAGTCCTTGGTGATGTGTCTGCTGCCATGCTGTGAAGATACTAGAGTGACTTGGAACTGAATTTCAGTGCCCTTCCTGGACAAACTTAGCTTTCCTCTGCCATTCATCCAATCTAGGTTCTAGGCTGAACTCCCTTTAGCCCCATTGACCCTTAAGAGCCTCCTTTCACTTTTTTTGTGCTGCTACTTCTACCTCAAAATACCATTTCCTATTCTCGTGCAGCGAGATTGACAAGACTTTGGAGAGTATGTCCAGCTGCAGGAAAAACAAGTGGATTGTTGAAGGCCGGCTCCGGAGGTAGGGACAGGACAAGGGGTAGAGCCCAGAGAGAGGGGAGAAGGGGGAAAGTGTGAAGCATAGGTAGGACTTTGCCTGGAACATGATGCCCTTCCCTTGGGATGATTTATGTTTGTTTTTTGGCATTATCATGTTCCTCACCACAGTGTCCCTTAATCTCTCTTCATCTGTTTTAAGACTAAAAACTGCTTTGTCCAAGCGAACTGGGCGACCTGAGGTAGAGATGGAAGGACCAGAGGAAGGCCTGGGACGGAGGCGCAGTTCCCGGATCATGGAGGAAACCAGCGGCATGGAAGAGGAAGAAGAGGAAGAGACTACAGCAGCTGTCTATGGCCGCAAGGGTCGGCGAGATGGAGAGGTACCCCAGTGCCCAAGACCAAGAAAAGTGGAAGAGAATCAGTATCTCTTTCTTAAATCTGATAACTTCTTTTTTTCTCAGTGTCCACTTGTTTCTCTCCAGATTGATGCTACAACATCTAGCATTCCGGAGTTAGAGCGCCACATAGAAAAACTCAGTAAGGTATTGTAATTCTAACCTTCCAAGTGTTGGAGGTAAGGGCTGGGGAAGAATTGACCATCTTCTGAGATGGTTATCAATTCTGTAGGGAATCTTATATTTCTCCCATATACTAGATGAATTCATCACTGAAATTGGAAATGTTCTTTATTCACCTTCCTTTTCCACTGCTTACCCAGCGTCAGATCTTCTTTCGTAAAAGGCTGCTACAGTCATCCCAGATGCTTCGGGCAGTTTCCTTGGGTCAGGACCGCTACAAACGCCGCTACTGGGTGTTGCCATATTTGACTGGTATTTTTGTAGAAGGAACAGAGGGGAGCTTAGGTAGGTGTGTGTGTGTGTGTGTGTGTGTGTGTGTGTGTGTGTGTGTGTCTGTGTGTGTGTGAGAGAGAGAGAGAGAGAGAGAGCCTGAATTTGAGTCCTAATAAAATTTAAATAGTGGTCTTAGGCTTCTTTCATTTTATAGGAATCAGTATATAGTATAGATGTTAAGATCCCAGGCTCACACCAGGTGTAGTGGCTCACAGCTGTAATCACAGCTACTCTGAAGAATAGGAGGATCCAGGTTCAAGTCTGGAGACTGGCCCAAGCAAAAAGTTAGTGAGACCTTATCTCAGCCAATAAGCTGGGTGTGGTGGTGTGCACCTGTCACCCAACACACACAAGTTGTAAATAGGATCACTGTTAAGGCTGACTCAGGCAAAAGGTGCAAGACCCTATTCAAAAAATAACTGAAGAAAAAAACATAATAACTAAAACAAAAAGGGTTGGGGGTGTGGCTCATGTGGTAGAGTACCCGCTTAGCAATTGTAAATCCCTAAGTTCAAACCCCAGTACTTCCAGAAAAAAAAAAAAAAAAGCACAGGCTGAGTCTGAGTTTGTAGCTCAGAATGGGGGTTAAGAGCACACGCCTGGCACGCACAAGGCCTTGGGTTTCAGAGTGGCCGCCCATGTGCCTTCGCTGCCATTTGCCAGCAGTGCGCTTCCGCTTCTTCATTTGTGATTGGGGCTGTTTGTTCTGTATGATTTGTGCTGAATGTGCTTCTTAAGACTTAAAGCATTAAAGTGAGTTAATACTCCTAATTAAAAATATTGCTTAACAGCGAGGGTGTAACTTAGTGGCAGCACACAGCATGGGCCCTGGGTTTGACCTCCAGCACCAAAAAAAAAAAAAAAGTACTAATAATGGCGGTGCAGGCCTGTGGCCCCAGCACTCAGGAGGCTAAGGCAGGAAGCGCACGAGTTTGAGGCCAGCCTGGGCTGCATAGTAAAACTGATTCTCAAAGAAAAAACGAGTAATGCTTAGTATATAGTTGATTCTCATCTGATTTTAGCTTATGGTTCTGCTACTGCTGATCACTTAGGAAAACATAGACAATAATATCAATGAAGAGATTAAGTCCAAGAATAAAAGAAAGTACATATCCTGTCTTCATACACTTTTTCTTCCCCATTTATATAGCAGTGTATGTCTTAAGCTTTTTATTTCTCTTTACAGTTCCTGAAGATGTGATAAAGCAGGAAACTGACTCTTGGAAGCTGGCAGCCCATCCAGCACCCAACCCTGCCGTTTTCTCTGTGAAGAGGGAGTTAGCTGGCTCCACCACTTCTGTGGCTTCTCCTGCCCGGACCCGAGGCCGACCCCGAAAAATTAAGCCTGGGTCTCTGCAATCTAGGCATATTAAGGCCCCTGTCAAAGGTCCAGATTCAGAACAGCCTCAGTCTCAGCTTCCACCAGAAGATCAGTATCATGCTCAGCTTCAGGCTCCTGTCCAGCCCCAGCTTCATTCCCATTCTCAGTCCCATAATGGGTTCCTGGAGCCAGAAGGCTCCCCTTTGTCTCTGGGTCAGAGCCAGCATGACCTCAGCCAGTCAGCCTTCCTATCTTGGCTGAGCCAGACTCAGAACCATGGCTCCCTGTTGAGCAGCTCAGTCCTCACACCTGATAGCAGTCCAGGAAAACTAGACCCAGGCCCATCACAGCCCCTAGATGAGCCAGAGCCCGATGAGGCAGAAGCCAGTCCTGATCCTCAAGCACCCTGGTTTAACTTCTCTGCACACATGCCCTGTAATGCTGCCCCTACACCACCCCCTGCAGTTTCTGAGGACCAACCCACTCCTTCCCTTCAGCTGCCTGCCTCCTCTAAGCCAGTAAGTAGCTAGAATTAGTGTGTATTTTTCCCACAGGCTTCATTGGCTAGGTGTTGCCTAAAGTTTAGGGAACCTGTAAACATTGAGATACCCTGTCCTTTCTTATTCACAGATGAATAAACCCAGTGCTGCCAATCCCTATTCTCCAGTGCAGTTCTCTTCTACCCCCTTTCCTGGGATGGCCCCTAAAAGGCGAGCAGGTGACTCTGGAGAAATGCCACAGAGTCCCACAGGGCAGGGACAGCCAAAACGGAGAGGGAGGCCTCCCAGCAAGTTTTTCAAGCAGATGGAGCAGCGTTACCTAACCCAGCTGACAGCCCAGCCTGTCCCCCCTGGTAAGTGATCTTGGGAGGAGTACAGTAGGTAATAGTGGTATCCAATGTGGCAGGTTCTCACTCTCCTCTCCCCCCACACACATACCTGTGTTTACAGAGATGCGTTCAGGCTGGTGGTGGATCCAAGATCCTCAGACATTGGATGCCATGCTCAAGGCCCTACATCCCCGAGGCATCCGGGAGAAGGCACTTCACAAACACCTTAACAAGCACAGGGACTTCTTGCAGGAAGTCTGCTTACGGCCCTCAACTGGTAATTAGATAACCTTGACCCAGCCTGAGCTGAAGAGCCCAGGGTAAGTGTTGAACTGCTGCTATGGACAACAGCCTGATGGGCTTCTTCTGCTTTCTCTTTCCTTAGATCCCATCTTTGAGTCTTGTCAGCTACCTGCCTTTCAAGAAGGGATTATGAGCTGGTGCCCCAAGGAGAAGACATATGAGACAGACCTAGCTGTGCTTCAGTGGGTAGAAGAGCTGGAACAGCGGGTTATCCTGTCTGATCTGCAGATTCGGGTATACAGGGATTGGCACTGGTTAGGGAATTATTCAGGGGAGGGCATTAAACCCTTGAACTCTTATTGGTTCCCATTTCCAAAGCGATCTATCACGACCTCTTTATGGGGTTGAGGGGTGGAGAGGTGGGACTGGGGTTTGAACTCAGGGCTCTGTACTTAGAAAGCAGGAGCTCTACTGCTTGAGCCATACCTTCAGTCCATTTTGCTCTGGTTATTTTGGAGATGGGATCTATATGCCCAGGCTGGCTTTGAACTTCGGTCCTCCTGATCTCAGCCTCCAAAGTAGCTAGGATTACAGGCATGAGCCTACCAGTGCCTGGCTACCATGACCTTAAGTGGGGTTTTTTTGTTTGTTTGTTTTTGTTTTTCCCCCTCCACCAGCCCTTTGTTGTGATGGGTTTTTTCAAGATGCAGTCTCACAAACTATTTGCCCTCGCTGGCTTCAAACCAGGATCCTCCCAATCTCTGCCTCCTGAGTAGCTAGGATTACAGGCATTAGCCTCCGGCACTTGACTATTTCCTTTTTTTTTTTTTTCCATTTATGTGTACAAAGCCCACCAACCATATTCCCTTACCTTCAACTCCTCCACTCCCCCTCCCCCTCCCACAGGTACTCCCATCTTGGTACCTGTTTTACAGTCCTATCTTTCATTTTAATTCCGAAGTCCATGTTCAGAGGGGTACCTCAGCTGTTACTATACTGTACTTTGGTCAGTTTAGCCGCCTCTATTTCTCTCCCTTATCCTTTTCCTCCTTTCCCTTATTGTCGCTTTCAGTACTTACAGTTATATCCTCTAATTGCACAGATGTAATGTATTTCAGTATTGTTGACTATCATGCCCTTATCCTTTCCCTCCTCCCCTGTGTGCTATAGAGTAGTTCCACTAGTATGAATGTGTTCTGTATATAAATGTGTATGTGATTATGTTTATTTTTGTGTATATGTTTATCTTCCACATACATTTTCTTTTTTGGGAGGGTGGTACTAGGGTTTGAACTCAGGGCCTCATGCTAACTAGGTAAATGCTCTACCACTTGAGCCACTCCAGGAGCAGTATAGCACATTTTCTTAAATCATTCATCAGTTGTAGGGTATCTGGGTTGTTTCCATAGCTTGGCTATTGTGAGCAGTGTTGCAGTCAACATCGGTGTGCAGTTGTCTCTATTGTATCTTGACATTCCTTTGTGTAGATGCCCAGGAGTAGTATCACTGGATCATATGGTAATTCTATTTTTTGTTTTTTAAGGAATCTCCATACTGCTTTCCATAATGATGGTACTGATTTACATTCCTACCAAATGTTTAAGGGTTCCTGTTTTCTGTATCTTTACCAACCTTTATTGTTGTTTGTATTCTTTTTTTTTTTTTCCCAATGTACTTTTTATTTATTTATTTTTTTTTCATTTTTCTTTTATTATTCATATGTGCATACAAGGCTTGGTTCATTTCTCCCCCCTGCCCCCACCCTGTTGTTTGTATTCTTAAAGATAGTCATTCTAACAGGGGTGAAATGAAATCTTAGTGTAGTTTTGATTTGCATTTCTTTTTTGGCCAGGGAATTCAAGCACTTCTTCATGTATTTATTGACCATCTGTACCTCTTCCTTTGAAAAGTCCCTATTCAATTCATTTCTTCATTGGGTAGTTGATTTTTTGGGAGTTCAGTTTTTTGAGCTCCCTGGTAGATTCTGGTTATTAGTCCCTTATCAGATGAATAGCTGACAAAAATTTTCTCTCATTCTGTAGGCTAAGTCGAATGACTATTTCTTTTCCTGTGCAGAAGCTCTTCAGTTTGATGCAGTCCCATTTGTTCATCCTTTCTTACTCCTCTTTTTTAACTGAAGGGCTGGACATGTCCTAGCCCAGACTCTACCCGTGAAGACTTGGTCTACTGTGAGCATCTACCTGACTCCCAGGAGGATATCACCTGGAGAGGTCGGATCAGGGAAGGGCTTGCACCTCAGCGGAAAAGTACCAACCCTTTGGACCTAGCTGTGATTCGACTGGCTGCCCTGGAACAGAATGTGGAGCGGCGATATCTGCGGGAGCCTCTCTGGCCAGCCCATGAGGTGGTGCTGGAGAAGGCCCTGCTCAGCACACCGAATGGTGCCCCTGAGGGCACCACTACAGAGATGTGAGTGACTCCCACCCCCCCATTCTTGGTCCTACAGAGAGAAGGGAGGAGTCCCCTTAGTTCACAGATCCTGCCTCTCATCTCAAGATCACCACATTTCTCCCTGCAGATCATATGAAATCACCCCTCGTGTTCGTGTCTGGCGCCAGACACTTGAGCGGTGCCGGAGTGCAGCCCAAGTGTGCTTGTGTGTGGGCCAGCTGGAGAGGTCCATTGCCTGGGAGAAATCTGTCAACAAAGTGGTAAGAGGTTGGGAGAGCCTGCGAAGGCTGAGGAGCCAGCTGGGCAGGGTGGGTGGGGTCATTGGTAGGCAAAGGCTTAAGGGCTCATTCTGCCTCCTCAAAACCTTGGTCCAGACCTGTCTAGTCTGCCGGAAGGGTGACAATGATGAGTTTCTTCTGCTTTGTGATGGGTGTGACCGGGGCTGCCACATTTACTGCCATCGGCCTAAGATGGAGGCTGTCCCAGAAGGAGACTGGTTTTGTGCTGTCTGTTTAGCCCAGGTAAGTCTTCTGCTCTCTCATTCCCACCCCCATGCAAAAGTCAAAAGATTTTCTTTTCCATCCTGTTTACCACCCGGCCTATAGATGTTCCTTACACCCTCAGTCTCCCCTTGAAATGAGCTCCTGACAGAGAGTTAAGAGACCCAAGTTCTGGAATTCCTTTGGATAAGTCACTTAAATTCTGTAGTCTCCATTGCAGTTGCTTTCTCTCTAAAATAATAATAACTGGCCAGGCACTAGTGGCTCACACCTGTAATCCTAGCTCCTTGGGATACTGAGATGAGAAGGATCAAGTTTTGAGGCCAGCCCAGGCAAATAGTTCACCAGACCCCATCTCCAAAATAACCAGAGCAAAATGGATTGGAGGTGTGGCTCAAGTGAAGCGCAAAGTCCTGAGTTTGAACCCCAGCCCCACCAAAAAAAATTATAACTTTCCCTTTACTCATGCCTTCCCTAATTGGGTTATATGAGTAAATTCACGTGCTGGCTTGTGTATGAAAGTATTTTGAAGCCTCAGTCACACTGAGGTAGGGCTTCTGTTGCCCTGGAAGAGAATGTGGAGCAGCAGTACCTGCAGGAGCCTCTGGGGTGGTGCTGGAGAAGGCCCTGCTCAGCACACCCAGTGATGCCCCTGAGGGCACCACTACAGAGATGTGAGTGACTCCCAACCCCCCATTCTTGGTCCTGGAGAGAGAAAGGAGGAGTCCCCTTAGTTCACAGATCCTGCCTCTCATCCCAAGATCACCACGTTCTCCCTGCAGATCATGTGAGATCATCCCCCGCATGCAAGCAGGATGCAAGCAGAGTGCATCCCTAGCCGTTGCTGACCCCATCTTTTCCTGTCCTCAGCAGGTAGAGGAAGAATTCACTCAGAAACCTGGTTTCCCAAAGCGAGGCCAGAAGCGGAAAAGTGGTTTTTCACTGAACTTTCCAGAGGGTGATGGCCGCCGGCGCCGGGTACTATCAAGGGGCCAAGAAAGCCCAGCAGTGTCTCGGTACGCAGAAGAAGGGCTGTCTCCCTCCAAGCGGCGGCGATTCTCAATGCGGACCCATCACAATGATCTCACGTTTTGCGAGTGAGTTAAGTGAATTCTGGGTACAGCTTGCTCTCCTTCTGCCAGAGGAGAGGGCTGGCACGGGTCAGCATGTGCTTGCAGGGACAGACCTTCATGATCTCTGCACTGATAGGATTATCCTGATGGAGATGGAGTCCCATGATGCTGCCTGGCCTTTCCTGGAGCCTGTGAACCCACGTTTGGTGAGTGGATACCGCCGCGTCATCAAGAACCCTATGGATTTTTCCACCATGCGGGAACGGCTGCTCCGGGGAGGGTAAGTAGCCCGCGTTGTTCACTCCCTAGTTCTCTTACTTTGCAGCTCTTTTTTTTTTTTTTGGTGGTATTGGGGCTTGAACTCAGCACCGCATGCTTGGTAGGCAGGAGGTGCCCAACCACTTGAGCCCCTCCACCAACCTTTTTTCTGTGTTGGGTATTTTCGAGATAGGGTCTCGAAACCTATTTGCCTGGGTTGGCTTCGAGCCACAATCCTCCTGTTCTCTGCCTCCTGAGTACCGAGGATTACAGGCGTGAGGCACTGTGCCCAGTTTACTTTGCAACTCTTAACCAGCTCACAACTGTGCCTCCATCCCTTTCCAGGTACAGCAGCTCTGAGGAGTTTGCAGCTGACGCCCTCCTGGTCTTTGACAACTGCCAGACCTTCAATGAAGATGACTCCGAAGTGGGCAAGGCCGGGCACATCATGCGCCGCTTCTTTGAGAGCCGCTGGGAGGAGTTTTATCAGGGAAAACAGGCCAACCTGTGAGGCAAGGAAGGTGGGGAGTCATCTTGTGGCATCTCCCCCACCTTCCAAACAAGAAAACCTGCCATTCTCACCTGCTGATGCTGCCCTCGGTCCAGACTTAAGTCAGATAGAACTCTGATTTTGACCCTGGCCTTGGCAGCGCCTACATCCTCTTGTCCCTAGTCCCCTTTTCTCCCTTCCTCCTCTTGCTCCTCAGATAAGAGGTGCAGAGATGAGGTCCTTCTGGACTGAAAGCCAAAAAAGAAAGAATTTTTTCCTTTCTATTTTATTTCCTAATTAAAAGTGGGAAAGGGAAAAGAAGTCCCTATTTCCTCTTCCCAGCTTCCTCCTTCCCTGTACATGCCCCAGCATTCTGGGGTTATTTAACAATAGCAATAGTTCTAGTGAATGTGTGAAACCGAGAAACACTCTGTACTGTGTGCGGACCCGCAGTGACGGCCAGTAAAGTGGACTTAACTCCCAAGTGTGTCGCGCCGGACACCGGGCCCTGACCATGCTGCTTCCGTGTTCAGTCCCTCCCCTGCTTCTCACTTCCTCTCCATTCTTCTTTCTTCCCCCCCATTTTCCAGATTTTCTCTCATCTAATAATGGCAAACTATTGTGTACGGGTTCTTTCCTCCTAAATCTTTTTTCCTCTTCAAAGGAAAAAAAGTTCAGAGGTCCCTGTCTTTCTGTCATCTTCCTGCCAACAGCTATCCCCTTAAATGTTGGATCCTCCTCACATGCTGAGTTTCCAGCCTTTTCTGAAACTCAGTGGCTGGGGAGAGGGCAGGCAGGCACCCTGGGCCTTCCAGCCTCCTTCCCAAACCTCCCTCTTGGGAACTCCTCAGGGACAACTACTGCTGAGTTTGGGCGCACGTCTGAGATGGAGGCCAGGTAGCACTTGACTGGCCTCGGAGGGAGAGAAGTTTGTGTGTGTGTGTGTGTGTGTGTGTGTGTGTGTGAGAGAGAGAGAGAGAGAGAGAGAGAGAGAGAGAGAGAGAGAGAGAGAGATTGAGTTAGCAAGTGTGAGTGACCCTGTTTTGTTTGATGGGATCCATTTAGTTTCCCCAAGTGTCTGTTTTTACTCCCATCTTTCTCATTGTTTCATTCATCACTTTTTTGTCTTTGGGAAACCACAGGAACTATTTCCCTAGGGACAAGGTGTGTCTCCCTCTCTCTCCTGGTCATTTGTATTCCAGCCTCTTCAAACTGTGCAATCTTTCAGCAGGAACTCCCACTCCTCTCTGGAGCTTTGAATCTTAAGCTTTTGCATGGAGAGGGGTAGAACTGGATCTTTCCTAACCTATGCGCATCTGTGGGTTTAGTTGTGCTTTCCTTCATCTACTTCATATGCTAGACCCCTTCCCCAGCAGCAGAGACCATGGAGAACAGGAGAGGCAGGGGGAAGGGGTTCTGGGTCTACCACTGCCCTGTGTGACTGTGCCCAAATTAAGCCCCCAACATGTGAGAGGAAAGCTGCTAACTCCAGGCTATAGCCATGGGCCCCTGGCCCCTGCTTTCCTGCTCAGCAGAGCCCCTCCCATCAGAGATTACGGGTACTTGCACTGGGGAGGTGACTGCTGGCTGGCCTAAGCAGAGAGCTTGAGACATCCAAGAAATGTTCTCTTGGGGGCAGAGGGTGCCAGGTGAGGTGGAGCATTCCTTATACTTCTGGCAGCACTGGAGGGGGTGGGGGCAGTATAGGGCCTGGGCAGCCCCTTTCTTATTCCTTTTACATACCTTCTTCCCCATGGCCTATTTCTAAAGTCGCCTTTTTTGTCAGATAAACCTCAAAACTTTTAATTTTATTTGAGATTTTTTTTTTTTGCTTTTAAATAAGAGGTGGATTGAAGACTATTTGAATTGACTTTATATTATGCATAAATATTTATATTTTATCTAAATAACTGCGCCGTAACAAACTTTGTGTTAGATGTTTGGAACTGTTAATAGTTGGGGGCTCCTTTTTTTTTTTTCCCCCATGGCAATTTTCCCCTGGCATAAAACATACTAGATTAATTCATGGTTAGAGGTGAGGTGGATAAGGGGAATGAAGTTTCACTTGTTCTTGCTTTGTGTTCCTCTCCCAGCTTCATCTCTTTCCCTAGGGACCAGACACTCTTAAGGTGGGGTGGAGTCCTAGACTCATTTTGAGGAAGTGGGGGCTGAAGCAGGGGTAGGGATAGGGCATGATCAAAGGGGTCCATTTTTTTCCTCATCTTCACTGCCCCTTGAGCTAGGTGGATTTTCTCTACTGACAAGAGTATTTGGTAGCGAAGGCAGGTAAAAAATGAAGACAACTCACTCCCTGCCCCTTTGTTTCCCCTTCCCATCAATCTGGTAACAGCAAGAAACCACACCATCAACACCAAGTTTCCATGTTCCTTTTACAACAAAAGGGACTGACTTTTTATATAACCAAATGTGGTGTTTTAGTGACTTTTTGATAATGTACAGTTTTTTGTGAATTTAAATTTATTTCTTTCTATATTTTTAGGACCAATCTCATTTTTAATAAGGTTAAAAAAAAAAGGAAAAAAAAAAAAGTCTAGAGAAAAAAACCCTCCTGTTTTGCCATGTGATGTTCCACAAGTGCAGCTGTAGAAAAGTGCTTGTCAGTTGAATAAAAACCACATTTGATAGAGATTCAAAGGACTGTGTGTATTTCTCTTCCCTTTAGCATAGTTTCTCACACATACCTAAAGGGTAGACGGGTGTTAGCACATATGACTGGCTCAGTATGAGATAGGTTTATCTCTAAACTTCTAAAAAAGTGTACAGAAGTCTGCATGATTCCTGTTTCATGGCCTCTGCTTCTATGGATGGAACCAGTTCAGGGTTCCTGTCTGAAAGCCTAAGGTGCTGGGGCAGAGTGAGATTCAGTGTACCTATTTCCTTCCTCCTTGTGAGAAGGGACTTAGCTTCCTAAGCTGCCACCTGTGTTCCTGTGTAGCACATATAGCCTATCACCAGCTCCCCCCTGCCACTTACAGATAAGACACCAACACACAGGCTTTTGTGTTTTGTTTATTTTTTTAAATTGAAGTAAGCCAAAATGAAACTCTACATAAGGAACAATAGAAATCCAGGGATTAGAAAAGGAAAAATAAGCTAGAAGGATGGGATTGTCCTAAAACAGAGTATAAGACACAGTATAAAACTAGACATCTCTGGATAAAGAAAAAATGTACAAAGTGTATTTTAAGTATAAATTAATTTCCTCCCCAAGGTGATTAGTGCACACAACAGAGTATTCACCTACCCAGAAAGGGTATGTGTTGGAGTCAGGACATCAGTGATGGGGTACTAAATGTGTTTAGTCAGACTGAAAAAGTGTTACTACCCCTTAGGCTGGGAGAATTGTCTTCTGAAGAGTTGAGGTGGAGAAGGAACATCTTTCAGCCTTACTAAAATCACTAACTTCCCTCTTTGGTGCTTGGTTACCTTCTCAGCTATATGGCAGCCTCTTAAATTCTAAGATCTATTCCAATGTTCCTGGGGTAACTCCAGCCACTTTATTATCAGAGATGGTCACACAATACCACCTGGCCTGTCACGCTAGGACCTATCAGGAGAATTCATACTATTCTAGGGTGATCAGTAAGCCAAACTCCTCAGAAAAGACATTCCAGAAGTAGAAACTCCCAAAGAGTTTTTGCATCATTTGTTCATGAGCCCTTTCTTAACCTTCATGAAGACAAGACAAAAAAAAAAAATTGTAAATTAGGTGCTTGTGCCCTTGTTGAATTGTGAGACTGTGAGGTAGATGAGTAACAAGGACAAGGAAGTTAAGGGATCTGCCAGGACAGTGAAGGCTTCAAAATAGAAGTGGACAGGCCAGGAAGAAAGCAATGTCACTGAGGTGATGAGAGCGCCTAGTGTTTTAATAGTCACATGGGGTTCAACAGAGATAAGAGAACTACAGGCTGGTTTTTCTTTTCTTTTTGGCAGTACTGGGGTTCGAATTCAGGGCTTTGTATTCCCAACCAGGTGCTCTACCAGTTGGGCTACACCTCTAGCCCTGCAGGCTGGTTTTAGCTGCTGAGGGAAAATTTATGGAAGGAAGGTGAAAACTGAATAAACTTTTAATAGTGCTAATGCTTGGAAGGATCTAAAAGTCAGGATGCACAGAAATGGAGTGGTTGGTTTAAGAGGGAATGAGGAAGAATCAGTGTAACAAGTCACAAGACTTAGGACCTACCCCTACAGCTTGGCTTTTATATGATACCCACCGTCTTCTCTGAAGCCTACTTGATCCAGGAGGCTGGAGGCAAGCTGGTGGAGTAACTCAAGTGGCAGAGCACCTGCCTAACAAAAACAAGGCCCTGAGTTCAATCCCTAGTCCAAAAAAAAAAGGGGCTGGGGACAAGTCTGGACCTGCCCACCCACCCAAGTATATTACTCTTGGCTAAGAAGGCAAAGTAGGCAGGCCCTCAAGAGTGTAATGCTTATACTTTACCAGAAGGTGAGGCATTTGCCTAAGAGCACCAGTGGTTCTTTTTTGAGACAAGGTCTTTATAGGCCAGGCTGGCCTTGAACTCTATATTTCCTGCCTCAGCCTCCAGCGTCCTGGAATTACAAAGGCATGTGCCACTAGATCTGGCTTGCAGTGGCCCCTTTTCTGCAAGACTACCAACTACTGCCAGGCATTCCTTCAATAGTCCAGCAAGGGCTCTCACAGAGCCTCTGGCCCCAATGGGCTGACACTGGAATAGGGAGCCCTGTGGACAGTGGAGGTGCTGAGGATGAATAAACTCACTGGTTAGCAAGTTAGGAAGAGGAATGGAATGGGGCTGCAGTGGCTCAACCAGGGATGGCCCGTGTAGAGCAGCAAGGTTGTGCTTTACCCTCAGTGCAAATAATGTCCTCCTCCCACTCCTATCTATCACGGACAAGGGCTGCTACCTCTTTGGAGCCATCAGGCTTCCCAGACTGAAGCTCTTCAGATTCTTCAGTTGCAAACACTAATGTAGCAGCCTTCCCCAGTGTCATTCTTAGCAGTACTTGCGTCCTCCTCAAAAGTCCAATCATCTAGGGTCTGAGCATTGCCTCCACTCCTGAGAGGAGCAGTAATAATACTGACATGAGATGGGAAGCTCAGAGCCAGTAACGGATTACACCATCTGAGGCGTGGACTCTGGGGTGTTCTGTTTAACTGAAAACATAAAAGCACTAAGTACTGAAATATTTTAAGAATGTTACAAGCATCTGCAATGAGTAGGGGTAAGATGTAAAGTATAGAAAGAGATCTGGCTTCCATGAAGACAGGATTCAGAAAACACTAGGCATAGTGTTGAGAGCCCAGCCCTGCCTTTCTCCAGTCATTACCCACCATCAGAAATGAGCTAACAAGGGAAAAATAGAAGTGTAGACCAAAAGAGGCAAAAAAATTTCCTTTGTATGATTAACCACTATAAAAATAACTGTGCAGGCTCCCCCATCACTTACCTGCCACACCTGCCCCAATCAGAAGCACTCATTAAAATAATCTAACAATTAGATCCACACAAGGAAAACCTCAAAAGATAATTTCAAAGTTAAAACAAGCCATTTGAACATATTTTAGGTACAGAGAAAGGAGACTGAATCAAGTTCTGGGAGGCAGAAAAGGGACAGCAGTGACAAGTTTCTCTACAGGAACCCCACCCTCACAAACCTATTAGGCAAAGCTTCTCCAAGTTATTGTCAGTCAAATGAGCAGAATTCTGGGTTTGTTTTCTCTGAGGCCACTGGACAAGAAAGCAGCTTTGGTGCAAGCAGCTGTAGTATACTCCTGTTTACTGAGGGCTAGACACTCAAAAAGCACTATCTGCCCAGTTAAACCCTTCTAGAAGGCTCTTGGGGCTTTTACACTGGATAAAGCTTTTCCTGCAGTTGGAAGTAGCAATGAGAAGAAAGCAGAGGTAAATTTGTTCTTTACATTTTTTATCTTGTCCATTGCCCCAGACTTCCTTGTCCCCAGGATGGACAAAGGGACAGTCTGGAGTCAGGGAGGGAAGGGAAGGAAAGCTGGACCCAACCTCTACATGCAGCCTCTGAGCCAGTACTTGGACTTGAAGTGAAGGGGAGAATTCTTTCAGTGTATGAGGAAGTGACTGGAAGAAGACGGGCAGGATCTTACTTCTTAGAAGATGGGCAAAGGCTTTCTCCTACCTGTCTCCATGTGCTGCCATGTTTTGCAGAAAAGAATAGTTAAAACACAGAGGCTTTTTAAAACGTCTTTCCTAACCTTGTAAATAATGAGATAGGATGTATTGCCCTTTTCTACCCTAGCTCTCTGTTGTCCTTCCACAAGAAGGAAAATGATTTCTGATGTCCTGGTTCCCTGGAGAAGGAGTCCAAACACACCAGGGAGGGCAGGTCACTCTGCACAGCTGAAAGAGCTCTGACCCTTTTCACCTATGCATAGCACACACAAGAGTCAGTTCCCAACGTGAGCCCTCCACGTTACATGTCCATTTGGCATGTGCACAACCACCATGAGCCTTGCAAGAATAGCTCTTGCTGCATACAGAGGTGTCAAAAGTCAAAGCCTAGGAAGAATTTAAGGTCCTATTTCCATCCCTCCCAGCCAGTTCAATGAATGTCAAAAAGGCACTGTGTCCAGGGTTGGGGTGAGAACCCCACTCCAGAAGACAGGGAAACACTTTATATCAAGGCTTCTCAACCTTGGCACTATTGACATTTTTGAGCCAGTTAATTTTTTGCTGGAGGTAGTGGGGTGACCTTGTGCACCACAGGATGTTCAGCAGCATCTATGGTCTGTAGCAATGAGATGCCAGTAGCGCACACACTCCCATTCCTAGGCATGGCAAAGATGTCAGATAATGGCAACAACCTTCTGGGGACAAAACCACCTCCAGCCAAGAACCATGAAGCAGCAGATCTTCTACAGTGGGGAAGGTGCCTTAAGTGGATCCAGCAAGGTCACAGCTACAAAGACTCTGAGCACTTAACACAGCGATACGCAGCAGAGAAGAGACCTGGGGCAAAAAAGAAGATCCTTCAGATGACAGGAGAGCAGGCATTCCCAAAAAGCTGGAACTGGAAAAGATACTTCCTCAGAGGGTGCTGCTCTTGGCAGTGAGAAGAGCTAATCAGAAGTCAGTCCAGTCTTCTGGAACTTTCCAGGAAAGACCTAAGTCTTCTACCAAATTTGCTTCAAGGGTGACTTACTTCCAAAGGCTGTGAGGTCATTTCTTGAATAAGCCTAGGTCACATCTCTGCTTCCTGTAGGCAAAGTCTAGTCTTTTCCCCAGAATGTGACAGAGCAGAGGAAAAAGCCCCTTTCACTGCCTGCTTAGTGTTTTACCTTGTTCCTTGCCCAGCAGGCCTTTCCCTCCCCAATTCCACATGAAATTTCTTTCAAAAAGGAAATTCACAAACATAAAAAACTATAAAAAGGCAAAGTAGGCAGGCTCAGCTATATGGAAAAAAGAAAATGAACAATCTGAGAGAAAGAAGGCAAAAAATGTGTGAAGACGGTATATGAGCAGAGAACTTTACAAAACAAAAATTTTAAAGTCTGCATATTTTCTTAAAACACATGCATATATATATATATATATAAAAGTCCATAACCAAACTCAGCAAGTAGAGCTCTCAGCGTTCTAGCACCACATCTTTCTGTTGTGTTTTTAAAGAAATAATAAATCATTTAAAAAGCTTTCCCAAGTAATTCCAACATATCAAAAACAGTTTTTCATCTAAAGAAGCTCCAGCCACCATGTCTCTTTGGGGTAGGAAAAAAGTACATTGCAATTAAAAACAAAGCAAAAAACTTTCTTTGCAAAAGAAAAAAAGTTTTTGATCTCCTTGAATGTAGCATATACAAAAAGTGATGGTTCCCTAGGCTCCATCAGCAATGGGGAAACAGCACAGGGTAGGAGCGTAGAGGTTTCTTCTCCCAGGCCCAGGCCTATGAAAAATGATGGCCAATTGTTAGTCCTTAGGGCCTACAGATGGTCTGTAACCTGTTTAACCCTCTGGAGTCTGGGAGCGTCTCCAACAGTTTATTTCTATTCAACAAAGATGGGGAGAGGAATCCCAAGAGGTATGAATCATGGTGGGAGAGAGGGGTGATGACAAACATGAGACCTGTGCTATGACCCAGTTGGGCATGCCCCCACACCCTAGCATGAGGTTCTTACCCACTGTTACTTGCTGAACTGGAAAGAATAAACCCCATGGTCTGAGGGTGTCTCCACTGCCACTTGATTCTGCTGGCTGCTGCTCTCCTGTGCCATAACCAAGGAGGAGAGTTATCTGATAAATTCTTGTCCTTATGTCCCACTGAAGGGGCCTCACTAAAACCCACCCAAAACTGAGTGGCCTCCCCAACCCACCCACTGTACTCCCACACATCAGTGCATACACAGCACTACTCTGCTGGAAGGAATGTAAAATGGTGCAGCCACACTGGAAAATACTTTAGCAGTTTCTCAATGTTCATAGCAGCCTGCCCTCTTCCCAAGACATACTAGCCAACTTAAGGGAATATAACTTCTGGATGGCCATGAAGTTTTCTTTCCTGTGTTCATAAATCTACCCACTACTGTGAACACAGAATCAGCATCGCTGTGAGAAGAACATCTTGACTAAGAGAAAATCTGCCTTTTTCATCATCCTATCCTCATTGAAAAGAAATGATGCTCTTACCTCGACTGAAACATTGGAAGAAGGCACAGGGGGGTACTGGGAGATGTAAGCGCCTTGCATAGCAGCAGCTGTAGGCATATACTAGAATGAAAAACATCAATGGTTGGCAACTGGGAAGCTTTAAATACTGATGCTGGGCTGGCAGAGTGGCTCAAGTGGCCTAGCAAGCATGTGTTCTGAGTTCACTGGGGATTGAACACAAAGCCTCATGCCTGCTAGGCAGGTGCCACTCCCCTTAAGCCGTACTTCCAGCCCTTGCAACTTTTTTTTTTTTTTTTGTGGGACTGGATTTTGAACTCCCAGGCTTTTTACACTTACAAAGTAGGCACTCTACCACTTAAGCCAGAACTCTAGCCCATTTTGCTCTAGTTATTTTTGAGATGGGTCTCAAGAACTATTTGCCCAGGCTGGCCTCAAACTGCAATCCTCCTGATCTCATTCTCCCAAGTAGCTAGGATTGCAGGCATGAGTCATTGGTGTTGGGCTATGCAATAGCTTCTTAAAAGCATTCCAGGCATCCTAAAGAGCACTGGCTTAGAGATACTTCTGCCTGTATGACTTCCCTCTTTCCTGACTGCCTTCTGCCCGTTCCTCAACACGTTGCCTTTCCTGCTCCTCAGCCCTCCTGCACGAGTCAGAATGCAGCAGGCCTGAAAGAAACCTACTGGGCTTCACCCATTCTTCCTGTTACTATTTTAGTAAGCATTCCTAGGAAATGTATATTAAGTCTTTTTTTTTTGGGTACTGGGGTCTGAACTCAGAGCCTCATGTTTGTTAGGCAGGCACTCTACCACTTGAGTCACTCTGCCAGCCCCAAGTCTTAAACTAATACACAGACAGACACACTTTGTTTAGTTTTATGAGTAGGAAGCAGGTAAAAGGGACAGGACAGCAGAATGACTGTATTCTTGACTTATAATTATTATTTTTTAGTTTATCTTCAATTCTGGGTGTGCCTTCAATGACACAAAAATGGCTTCATCTTAAGTATTTATGCTAAGGAGTTCTACACAGATACTCCTTGCTCTGTAGCAGTTTATAATTAGAAATATTCTGCTTTACCGTGCCTGTGCTGCTGAGAGAGAGGTGGCCCAGTTGCTGAGTAAGAGGTCCCATCATGGAAGCAGGCTGGAGAGAAATGGGGTGATCTATCCCTGGTGTCAGAACTGAACCCTAAGGGTAGCAACAAAGGAAAAGGTCAGGTAACAACATCCTGTGAAGCTGCCTAAAGCAATGATCCAATGATCAATGGCTACTAGGACCACTGAAGGCAGACACTTTAAAATTCTCCAAATTAAAAGCCCTAGTGAGCAGTAACCCAGCTAGGTAACAGGAGCAAGCACTCTGACAATCAGACTGGAGTAACAAACATACAGAATATAGGGGCTTATAATCGGGTTGCACAACTTACTGAGCCAGAACTCACACCCCCCATCCCCTGCCAATCAGGCCCCGTATTTTGCTTTATATCACACTGCCTCTTGCTTCTGCCCACTTCTGAACACTCACTGAAGGCTGCATGAGGTATGACTGGTGGTGTATCCAGGATGGGTTAGGTACTTGTAGAGGAGATGTCTGAGTCACTCTCTGATGCAAGCAAAAACAAACAAAAAAGTTAACAGCCTAGAAACTACTGTTTGTATCAATGATCTGAGAATGTTCAGCAAAACTCTCCAAAAGTTGAAACATCCCCTCAGAATATAGAGATGTTAAGACAAAGATGTTTAAAAAACATTAACAATTCATATATCTCAATAAATAACTTAATTAAAAATTGGGGGCCAAAAAAAAAAGAAAAGAAAAAAATTGGGTGCCAGGTGCCAGTGGCTCATGCCACCTAGCTATTTGAGAGGCTGAGATTGGGAGGATCACGGTTTGAGACCAGCCCAGGCAAATAGTTCATGAGACTCCATCTTCAAAATAACCAGAGCAAAATGGACTAGAGGCATGGTTCAAGTAGTAGAGTGCCTGCTTTGCAAGTGTAAAGCTGGGAGTTCAAACCCAGTCCCACAAAAAAAACTGGAGCAAAGGGGTTATTTAGAAGAATTTATATTAGAAGAGATACAAATGGCTGATAAGTACATGAAAGAGGCTCAAATGTAAATCAAGACCATAATGGGGTACAACTAGGCTAGCTATAATTAAAAAGAAATAGTGTGTTAAATGGTGGGTAGGAATGTAAAATATACATTATGGAATATACTGTATCAGTTTTTCAGAAAGTTAAACATAGGGTTACAATGTAACTCAGCAAATATACTAGCTTTATACTCCAGTGAAATGGAAACATATGTCCACATAGAAACTTACATAAGAACATTCATAGCAATATTGTTCATAATAGGCCAACATTTGAGTAGAAACAACTCAAATGGCTATCAATGGATAAATGGATAAATAAAATGTGGTATGTCCATACAAGGGATATTATTGATTCATAAAGAATGAAGTATGATACATCTTAAGACATGGATAAACTTAAAAACAGCGTTGAATGAAAGAAGTCAGACACAAAAGACCACATACTGTATGATTTCATTCATATGAAGTATCTAGAATAGGTAAATTGGACTGGGAATGTAGGTTAGTGGGAGAGCATTTGCCTAGCATGTACAAGACCCAGCACTACAAAAGAAAGAAACAGCAATAAAATAGGCAAATTTACTGACACAGAAAGTTTATTATGGATCGCCAGAGCATTTCAGTTCAACAGGGGAAAAGGATGTGTTATTTAATAATTTGGTACTAGGAAAACTGGTTAACATTCTAAAAAAATATATAAAAGGATCCCTTACCTTATAAAATATACAAAAATAAATTCCTGATGATTATACATTTAAGTGTAATACAATAAAATAAAATCTTGGCATCCACATATATAATATAGGGGACTATAGCATGTACACTATTATCTGGCTGAAAGCATTTCTAATCCTAACTATAAGAGAAAAAAACATATGTAACTATATACAAATTTTTAACTTCTGCATGACAAAAACTAATGATTCCCACAGTATGGTCCATAGACCACCAGTAGTAGCAGTGGCATCACCTAGGAACTTGTTTGAAATACACATTCTTGTATTTTCCCCTAAACTTCCTAATTCAGAAACTCTGGGGTATGGTGCCCAGTAATCTAGGTTTAATAAACTCTGCAAGTAATTCTGACACACAGCTAAAGTCTGAGGACCACAAAGTCAATAGACAAAGGGTACATTTGGAAAAAATATTTTTTAAAGATAATATTGAGAGGCTTGGTGTGTGTGTGTGTGTGTGTGTGTGTGTGCATGCGCGTGTGTGTGTCTATTTTTTTTTTTTTTATGTTACTGCTTGAGCCACTCTGCCAGTTTTGTGTTGGGTATTTTTGAGATAGGGTCTTGAGAACTATTTGCCCAGGCTGGCTTTGAACCTTGATCCACCTGATTTCTGTCTCCTGAGTAGCTAAGATTACAAGGGTGAGTCACTAGTGCCCAGCAGGACTGATATTTATATAAAGAGTTTGTACAAGTTGATAGGAAATGGACAAATAACCAAATAGAAAAATGGACTAAACTGGCTGAGCATGGTGGCTCACACTTGCAATCCTAGCTAATTGGGAGGCAGAGATCAGGACTGAGGTTTGACGCCACCTTAGGCAAAAAGTAAGTTAGTGAGGCCTCATCTCAACTAATAAACTGGGCATGGTAGTGTATGCCAGTCATCCCAACTACATAGGATTGCAGTCCACACTGACATAGACAAAAAATGTGAGACTTCATGTGAAAAATAATTAAAGCAAAAAAAGGGCCGGGGATATGTGATGCAAGTGGTAGAGTGCCTTCATATCAAGTGCAAAGCCCTGAGTTCAAACCCCAGTACTGCCAAAAACAAAATTAAAAAAAAAAAGGAAAACAAAAAAAGGATTAAGTTGAGGGGAAAGAACAACTAAATAGAAAAATGGACAAAACATAAGAATAATAAAGAGCAAATCAAAATATGACAAAAAGTTCATGTGTAGTCAGAGAAATGCAAATTAATGTTAACAAAGTACTTTACATTCATTAGGACAGGAATCTTGTTTTGGTGGGACTGGGGTTTGAACTCAGGGCTTTGCACTTGCAAAGCAGGTGCTTTACCTCTTGATCTTCACTTCCAGTCCATGTTGGTCTGGTTATTTTGGAGATGGGGTCTCAAGAACTATTTGCCTGAACTGGCCTGGAACCAATCTCCGCCTTCTAAGTCGATAAGATTATATGCATGTGCCCGGTAACAGGAAACGTTTTTTAAAATGTTGGGGTGGAAATAGGTATTCTTACACATTGCTGGTGGAAATGTGAATTGACACAGCTTTTGTTGAAAGCAATCTGGCAACATTTATAAAACTGAAAATCCATACACTATTCAATCTAGCAATTCCACTCCAGGGACTCTAGCTTCCAGAAATGAAAGCACTTATACATAAGAATAGAGGCACGAGAATGTTTCTGGTTAGGTGTGTAGTTCACACCTGGAATCCTAGCAGAGGTCAAGAGGACTGCAGCTCAAGCCCAGACAAAAAAAGCAGGACTATCTCAAAAATAACTAACACAAAAAAGGACTGAAAATGTGGCTCAAGTGGTAGAGTGCCTACCTAGCAAGTGTGAGGCCTGAGTTCAAATCCCAGTAATGCTGGGGTTTGAAAAAACAAAAAAAGAAAAGCTTCTGAAGCATTATTTGTAGTAGCCAAACTGAAATCTAAGTGAACATCCTTCACCAGGATATAAATCAATTCTGGAAGGAAGTACAATGCAACTACTAAAAAAGAAAGAATTAAGCTGGGCACTGATCACTCACACCTGTAATTCTAGTTCCTCAGGAGACTGAGATCAGGAGGAGCAGGATTTGAGGTCAACCTGGGCAAATAGTTCTAGAGACCCCATCTCCACAACAAGAGCAAAACGGACTGGAGATGTACATGGCTCAAGTGGCAGAGTACCTCAAGATTAACTGCAGTAGAATCACCTAGAGGGCTTGGTAATCCCCACAGTTTTGCTGGGCCTCATCCTTAGTGTCTAATTCAGTAGATATGGAGTAAAGTAAAAAAATGTGTGTTCTAAAAGTCCCCAGGTAATACCAATACACTGGCGTGAAGACCACACTTTGAAAATCACTAGTCTGAGGTATTGTTAACTGAGAAGAATATAGTATAAAATATATATTTAATATGGCCCAATTTTTATAAAATAAACAAGAGGCCTAAACCCTATATGTATGCATATGTGTATATATATATATATATATTTTTGTTCACATGAAGAAATATATGGAAAGTACTATACAGTAGAAAGTGAGCATGGGTTTACTTGTGGAGGTAGGGGAAAGAGTAAAAGCTTACCTCTAAAATTGTGCAAATACACACACTATACACACCTGTTCATACATACGTACATACATATGTACTGTTTGTATTTACACAAATACATAAAAAATTTTAATGCTTTTATATAACATTTGTGTATAATAATATAGAAAGGAAAAACCAAACAAGAACTTTCTAGCCTTATATTCCTTCATCTAAAACACACAGCAGGCAAAACCATCACACCTTCTTTTGGAGGTGAACATACCTGATAGGAAGACACAGGAGATGGAAGATATGGGGTGAGCGTAGACTGAGCAAGCATCCTATTGGGAGTGATGTTATAAGGGGTTGGGTAAAACCTGGAGGAAGGAACTTTATTCAGTAAGGAGTCACAGGAGACCACAAGGTATATATCTATACTAATAAAAGCACAGCCACTTCCCACTAACTGCTATTTGAAAACCAAGATGAAACATCCAAGTGCCTGGACACAGACCACTGTCATTTTCAGAAGACTTGATTACATAAAACACTCTTACCCATTTTGAAGAGCTGTGGTGGGGTCATAGGTCAAGGCCATACCACCCTACAAAGAAAGAGCATAATGTTCATATTGCAAGCCCTTGAGTAAGAACAAGGAGCAAGCTCAGAATGCCAAGGCCAGGGATACATGCAGTTCAACTGATCAAAGTCCCAGTCTAGCTGCTCCAGAGTTTTTCTGATTGTGTAGGTTGTAGAACCCAACTCAGACGCCACACTGAAGAGCATGTGAAACAGCCAACATGTCTCAGTTAATACTATAGCTCTCCAGCTCATGGAAATCAGGCTATGGTTATTTCTACCCCACTGTAATGTCCTCTGTATTCTTGCTTCCTTAGCAGTCTTCTTACCATGTCTCCATTCCTTGGCCAGGCCCGTCCATTTTGCACAAATTTTCCTTGGTTCTGTCGTTTCTTTGGCCCACCATCAGCAAATTTGCAAAGCAAGGGATCAGATGGGGCTGGCAAGAGAGAAAGCAGGTAGGCAGCTGAGTCGTATCTCACTGAGCCCATTCACACTCAGTCACGCAGAGCTCCCAGAATCTTCACTGAAAGGAACAACCTGTGGCTCTCAGCATGAATCCCAGATGCCTCACCTGGTACTCCAGGGGGTGTCTTAATATATTTTCCATTAAAGTGGGTGATGATAGCTTCACACTTCTCTGTGGACTCCATCCTAAGGAGTACAAGAAGGATTAGACTTTTCTTCTCCAGGATCTGTGTTCTCCATACATTCAAAACAGAGTCATAAGTTCTTAGCCTCACAAATGCTCCAGAAGTTACGACTACCGAAACACAGAGTTTCTGCCACACATGTTCAAGGTATCTTGAAGAGGTAACCCCCAACATCTATTGATCCCACAGGTTCCCACAACTGACACCTGTAGGGGATCCTCAAAGAAAGAATGGAGGTCTTTAAGAAACTGATTTTCTAAAGATACTGATGGATGGGCCTACTACTGTGTCTGATACATAGATAAGAATATAAGAAAATAGTAACTTTTTTTTTTTCTTTTTTGGTAGGACTGAGTTTTGAACCACAGGCTTTGCATTACCAGTTGAGCCACACCTCTAGTCCATTTTGCTAGAGATGGAGTTACTTTCCCAGATTGGCCTTGTACCTCAATCATTCTGATCTCAGCCTCCCAAGTAGCTAGAATTACAAGCGTGAGCCACTGGCACTTGCAACATTTTTTTTTGTGGTGCTGAGCGTAGAACTCAAGGCCTTGCACATGCTAGACAAGCACTCATCACTGAGCAACACACCCCAACCCATTATTTTTTATTATAAAATTCCAAATGGATGGGACTGGTAGAATGGCTTAAGTGTTAAGAGCACCTGATTAGCAAGTGTGAGACCCTGCGTTCAAACCCCAGTACTGAAAAAAAAAAAATCCTAATGGAAATTGTTCCTTTATTCTGATGAAACAACACAAGCTAAGATTTTGCCAATATTTATTTTTGTTTCTGGTTATAATTATCAAGATATAATTACCTACTAATATATCACTCTGATTTCAAAAGTCTGTAGTAATAAAAGATTCACAGTCCACAGTGATAGAAAAAGAAAATGTTAGGAACTACTGACTTAAAGTTTCTTGTTGAGGAAACAGGATTGAGTAAGGAATAAAAAGATCTAGATAACAAGCCATTTTGCCACTCAAAGCTCTCTCAGGACACTTGCAAAAACCCTCTGGCCCAATTCCTCATTTGTGCCTTAGAGACAGTAACCACCAAACCAATCACACAGTGTGGTATAGCTAATGTATAAGGGCCTATATATTGCATCTTCACCTATTCCATATTTAAATTAAGTCTTGGTATATTTTCTATGTTAATAACTACTAAAAATATGATCCATTCCTCTATAGGAGTAACTGCAAAAAGGACTCAAATAGAAGCTTTTGGAGAAACTACCCATTAGGAATTCTAATGTGTCTTCAGTGGATAACTTCTACTTACAGTCTTTCCAAAGAATGAGTAGGCAGAGTATTTCAGACTCAGCTTCCTCACTGATCTGCTTAAGGAAGAGCTCATGATTGCTAATCAAGGTCAAAGTCCCCTCTCACAATCACTCCTCTTATTTGCCCCAACCTAAAACTCAACAACAGACATTGATGTCTGAATTAAAATCTTTTTTTTTTTTTTGATGGCTTGAACTCGGTTCCTCACATTTGCTGGCAGACACTCTTTTCAGTTGAGCCACTACCCACACATTTTTAAATGGGCAATTTGTGTATTAAGTTGCTGTATTCAGAGCTATTTAGATACATTTAAAAATGATGTAACAGTTGTACTTAAAACATCAATATTTATAATTTACTGGGAATTACACTTTGCAAGAATCTAAATATGAGTGAAACTTATAGTTTTTTTCTGAGACAAGGTCTTGCTATATAGCTAGCCTCAAAGCTAATGATTCTCCAGCACTGGCCTCCCAAATGCTGGGATTTCAGGTTTGCACCACCACATCCAGTGGGATGTTTGAACTCTAGAGAAAATATGACAACATCTGTAAAACTCAAAGTAGTCTCCTGTTTCGACTTCAGTTGTTCCTACAATCTTTTCAATAGTGTCATATCTTGCAAGGCTGGGTTTTCTTTTTCTTGTTTTTATTTTTGGTGGCACTAGGGTGTGAACTCAGAGCCTCATGCTTGCTCGGCAGGTGCTCTTACTGCTTGAGCCACTCCACTAGCCCTGCTTTAGTTATTTTTCAGGTAGGGTCTCGAGCTTTTTGCTCAGGCTAGCCTAGACTGTGATCCTTCTAACTATGGCCTCCCACATAGCTGGGATGACAGATAGATGCCACCATGCTCAGCTTATTGATTGAGATGGGGTCTTGCTAGCTTTCTGCTCTGGCTGGCCTCAAACTGCCATCCTCTTGATCTCTGCCTCCCAAGTAGCTAGGATTACTGTGGCTCGGATTAAGAACTGGCTATGCATTTCTTAAAATATAAACATTTATTAACAAGTGGTTGTTTAAACCATTTAATTACTTAATAAATTGAACTCTTAGGTATTTCTTTTGTTCTAGAAAGAAAAACTATAATGACAACTAAGGGTGTTGTGAACTAAGAATGGTTGAGAATCTGCTTTAGGAAAGTATGAGAGCAAAAAACGTAATGACCACAGACCCAAGATATCCCATCTGGGGCTTGCCAGCAGGTGGCGCTCCCAGATTGAGACTGTTTCAGAAGGACCTAACCTTCCTAGGGTCTGAATCACTTTGGCTAAGGGAGTATTCATTCACCAGATAAGAGACTGTAAAACATAGATCCTCAGATCACATAGTCCAGTAGTTTTCAAACTTTATAAAAAAAAAAAAAAAAAAAAAAAAAACAGCAGAATCTCTTTTAAATTAATTTTTTTTTAACTTTGCAGAGCTAGGAATAGAACCCAGGGCCTCTGAATATTGCTACATCCCAGTCCTTGTTTATTTTTCTTTGAGACAGGATCTTGCTATGTAGCTCATGCTGACCTTGAGCTTGCTATGTTGCCCAGGCTAGCCTTCAACTCAGCAATCCTCCTGCCTCAGACTCCTGAGTAGCTGGGATTACAGGCATGTACCACACTGTGCCCAGCTAAAAAAATATTAAATAAAAACAATCACTTCTTTTCTTTTTGGCAGTGTAAGGGTTGAATTCTGGGCTCACGCTTGCTAGGCAGATGCTCTACCACTTGAGTCACTCCACCAGTCCCAGAATCATTTCTTAAGTGGACTATAGGGAACTGAAACTTGACAACAATGACACCAAAACCCAGACAGGGAAACCTGGAGAGTTCTGCAGCTCCAGGAAAATCTTATAGAAATCACTCATCTAAATCAATCTCCAAAGAGTAAACCAAGGCTCATAAAGATCTGCTATCACAGTTGTGTCAAAATCTATTCTAGAATGTAGGTCTTCCAATAGATCTGAAAAGGTAGACCAAACCTTCCACTTCAGCAGGCACTCTACCACTTGAGCCACACCTCCAGTCCATTTTGCGCTGCTTATTTTTTGGAGATGGGGGGTGGAACTCATGAACTATTTGCCTGGGTTGGCCTTGAGCCACAATCCTCCCAATCGTAGCCTCCCAAGTAGCCAGGATTACAGGCGTGAGCAATAGCGCCTGGCTCCATCAAGTATTTTTAATCACTACTTTGGTTTCTTATGGTAGGGGCACAGATGTTTTTTGGTGGCTTCCTAAATGACACTCTTTATTAACCTTACCATTTCCCACCTCTTGCCTCCCCTCACCTTGCAAAGCCAACCCCTCTGCTGGTCCCACTAGAGTCTCGAAGGATTCGGGTGGAGATAACCTGGCCAAAGGGCTTCAGCATCCCCTCCAGTTCTTGCTCATCCATTGACAATGGGAGGTTCGAAATGTATAAATTTGTGGGATCCTGCTCCTGTTGCTATGGAAATAAAAATGAGAAAATGAGGCCCATATCTCTTATCCCCGTCCCACTCTTAGCCCTAATCTACAAAATGACATTTCAGAAAAGAGACAGTAAGAAGGGTCCCACATAAACAAAAAGAATCTTAACTATTTGTAATACCCAATCCCAATACCATGGTTGTATACTGAGTAGTCCAGGAATTTAAAAAGAAGCAGATTTAGTCTTTCTAGAACTATACAATCCCACAGTACAAGTTATCAATGGTATCTGGCTGTCTCTTTAAGAACCAGTCAGAGCAGCAACCCCTCTCCCCTCAGCTGCCTGCCCCAGAAGCTAGGCTCCCTTGGACTACCCTCTCTGGGGCTGGGTTCTGTTAAATAATCCTGCTCCCTGTCTTCCAGCCACAGCAGAATCCTCTAAGCAGGAATGCCTGTTCACTTACTGATGGAAGGAAAACAGGAAGAAGGGAGAAGAGCACAGGGGAAGGGCTACATGTATAGCTCAGTGGGTCACCTGGAGCCCTGAGAGACCTAGTCTCCTGGAACTCCAAGGGCTCTTGCATGAGTTGCAGTGAGAGGTTTTACTCCAGATGGAAGGGAGGGAACACAGAATGTACACAATGGCAGTATCTCCCCATTGCTATATTTTTAAGAATTTAAGCAGTCACTCTGTCTTAGACATTGGTCACTAGCAACCCCAACCCCTCTTTTGCTTTTATCTTCAGGGTTTCCCTTTTCTTTCACCATTTCAGAAAAGGGTGGCTGCCTTCATCAGCTTTATTCATAGCACTCATGACGACTTCAGAAAGACAAAGGAACAATCACACCTAAATGAAGAAGTGCAAGAAAAGCTTCTAGTTTTCTAGTGATCTAGATTAAAACAAAACAAAAAACCAACTCCAGATAGGAGCTGTTCTCTTTCTTGCTGTGGTTTCCTTCTCCCCAGCCCATTCCACACCCCTATAGGAATCAACACTGGGAGGTGGAAAGTATTGTTCTGAACCTCTGAGTTGCACAACTGCCTTCAGAGAATGTTGCAAAACTCTCACCATCTGTCTGGTATGGAAGTGGGGCTGGGGTGGCTATGGGGAGGAGTGCTGCAAGAGGCCTGAGCCTCCTGCCTGCTAATAGTAATTTTATGAGAGGAACACAGTGGACAGAGCTACTTGCCACAGACTTTGAATACAATCTTCTTCCAGCAGCCCAGGCTGTTGAATGGACCCTGGTTCAGACTGTCCATGGCCAGATGTGGTTAGAAAATACTATAGACAGCCCTGGTCCATCAATTTCATGTGCCTAAAGCATTTGGAAACATTGGAACTGGGACTCTGGTACTGACTACCATCCTTCAGAGGAATAGACGTGGGGTCGAACCCTTACCTTTGCCATCTGTGCCTGTACACCGCTGGCTTTCAGGGCTGTTACAGCCTTCTGTGCTGCTGAAGGACTGTCAAAATCCACAAAGCCGTAGCCTGGAACAGGGAAACAGCATCACGGGGAGGTAGAAGGTGTAAGGGAGGTAGGAGGCCCAGGCTTTTCAGGAGACAGAGGAAGAATTATGATCCATATAAGGGAAGTTGCAGGGAGAAAGAGAAATGAAGAGGTTTGAGGTGATTGTCCATGTGCTCCTCACACCCTGAGGTTAGGTTCACTTTGTTGCTAAAAATGCTAAGGAAATGAAGTTCTTAGTGGTGTCTCTGCCTTTCTCCTTCCCCTTAAAAATATTAGGCCAGAGTACCCTTACACACTTCTAAAAGAACCCCCTACCTCATCTAGACACATCCCAGAAACACTAGGCACATAAGAAATGCAGACTCTCCAAAGCAGTCAACCAGCCACCAGCTGGAAAAAGCCCTTTCCTGCTCAACCTGCAGAACTTTCTCTCCAGTCTTCTAGCTCCATTTAGAACTGTTCAAAACCCCAACGAAACTATTCATCCTCAGAAAATAACACAGTCAGTCATCCTCCCACTTCCACCAAATGGCATTTTTCACTAAGCAGAAACAGTCTCACCTATCCACCTTCACCACCCCATTCAGAGAAACACAAGATCTAAAGGGACCCCAAGGGACTAAAGGGAACTCTGTGCAGCCTTCTGACCTCAGTCCCCAAACAGCATTTTCAGCTCTAGCTACCTGGCCACTAATGAACCTAAATATCTGCTAGTCTTTTAAGTCTGAAAACCTAAGAGACTTAGCTCTCTGGTACTCGGACTCCCAGCAGCAAAGGGCAGGAGCAAGGGATAGCCTCACTCACTGCTACTATGTCACCAAGGGCAGTTGTTCTCTCACCTTTGCATTTGTTTGTGGTCTTGTCCAGTATGGCCTTGGTGGAGACAATCTTGCCATATCTAAGGGAAAGGAAAATGCAAAGTAATGATCTGTGTGTAGGGACTAAGAATAGGAGAGAGACTAAGACATCCGCACTCTTTTTTTTTTCTTTTTGGTTGGTACAGGGGTTTGAACTCAGGACCTCACCCTTGCTAGGCAGGCTCTACCATTTGAGCCATTCCACCAGTCCTCTTTTTGTGTTGGGTATTTTCAAGATAGGGTCACAAGAACTATTTGCCTGGGCTGGCCTCAAATCACGATCCTCCTGATCTCTGTCTCCTGAGAAGCTGGATCACAGGTGTGAGCTGCTACCACCCAGAATTTTAAGATATCAGGATGAATCCAAGACCTTTGTCTGTTCCCAGTAGGTCAACTTTTCCTATCATCTTATTAAAAACAAAAAAGAAGTGAATTAAAAAAATGCCATCTGTATCAGTTAGCTTTTTTTTTTATCACTATGATAAAACACCTGACATGAACAACCTAAAGGGAGAAAAGATTTATTTTGGTTCACAGTTTCAGAGGTTACAGTTCATCATGGCAGGGAGGGTATTTTAGAGCAGAGAAGCTCACCTTATGGCATCCAGGAAGCAGAGAGATAAAGAATGGCCATGTTCATAGGCTTACTCCTTCTTCCCTGTTTATTCAATCTGGCCTCTAGCCTAAGGGATAGGTGGGTCATCTCCCCTTAGTTCATCCTCTCTGGAAACACCTTCACAGCACACCTTAAGGTATGCTTTCCTAAGCTCCTAGGTGCCTCTCAATTCAACCAAGTTGACAGCCAATATTAGCCACCACACACCTTAATATAAATATAATCCCCCAAATGTGCCTACAAGAAATAAAGCAACCCCAGTCCTTATAATACCAACATATTTGTCTCCTTTTCCTCAACTAAGACTCAGATACTAGTTGGAAAGAGAGGATCATCTTTTTGGGAAAGAAGTTTGGCAATGCCCACATGGCAGCATGTGTAAGGGCAGAGCACTGGTTGGAATTCCTTGAGGACAAGAAACAATCCTTGATATTACTTATCTTCTTCTGGACAAACATTGTTCCTCCCATGAAAAAAACTATAGACATTTCTCTAACATCCAATTCCTGCCCCTCTACTAATTCCCCCTAAATTGAAGGTCAATTTGAGCCAAACATTTGTTCTAATCCTGGTTCTGCTACTTTGTAGCTATGTGTCTCAGCTCATCATCTGTAAAAGGATTGCTGGGAATATAAAATGAGTTAATGAATATAGACTAATGCTTACCACATGGCAAGCACTTGAAAAATCTTAACTGCTATTATTACTGATAATATTCAAGAGACCTCAAAAAAAAATTCAAGAGACTTCAACTCTTTATTTATTGATTGAGTGAGTGAGTGAATGAGTGAGTGATTGGTGGGGGACTGTGGTTTGAATTCAGGGTCTCACACTTTCAAGGCAGGTGCTCTACCACTTGAGTCACTCTGCCAGCCCAGGAGTAGAGGCCTAAATTTTAATCTACTGCAAAAATCTTTCTCTCCTGCCTTACCATATACTAAGACTTCTATTTTTCATTGTCAAGATCCAAGTGTGTTAGGGAGAGGTATAGATACAAGAACAGGAGTAATAGCACTAATAAGGAAGTCATCTAAGATGATGTTCTCCAGTTCCATCCATTGGGAGCGGGTAGGATTAATGAACAGTGTAGGAGGGTGCATGTGGTGGAAATATTAGGTACTCATGTATGTAAATGGAAAAATGATACCTGTTGAAACTATTCCAAGAGTAGGGGGAAGGACTGTAAGAGAAAATGATGGAGGGGGTGAATTCAACTATGATATAGGTAAGAACTTTTGTAAATGTCACAATGTACCCCCAGTACAATAATTTTAAAAAATCCAATATCCAAAAAATAAAGTTATTTAAAAAAAATTAATCTAGCTGGGTGCTGATGGCTCACACCTGTAATTCTAGCTACTGAGGAGACAGAGATCAGTTTTATTAATGGTTCAAAGCCAGCCCCAGGCAAATAGTTCATGAGACCCTATCTCAAAAAATACCCAACACATAAAGGGCTGACAGAGTGGCTCAAGCAGTAGAACATCTGCCTAGCAGGTGTGAGGCCCTGAGTTCAAGCCTCAATGCTGCCAGCAAAAAAAAAAAAAAAAAACTCATCTAGCTTGAGCTCCTAAATTTAATCCCCAGCAACAACAAAAAAAAGTCAACTTGGAAATAAGGCCAAAGGAGGACTGCATATCATTTCAATGTCACTTTGGAATATTGTCTAAAAGGCCCAAAGAGTACAGTGGATCCTTGGTATCTGTAGATATATTGTTCCAAGAAGATTGACATTGAGGAAACACTGTGAATGCAGGATGCAGAGTTCAGTGCTGTACTGAGAATGCTTGATTCTTTTTTCCCATCACCTTGCCCAAATTCTTCGGAAGACATGCTGCCTTTCAACAGATCTAAAATTTTCACTTTGTCACTTAAGTTAAGCACATTAACTCTCACCTTGCTTTTAGGACAACATTTGCTCTTTGGGAGGCATATTTTCGCAAAACTAAGGGCAGGGAAACACTCAGATCACACACAATTTAAACACACTGATAATAATGCAGGACTGACTGAGAGCTTCTCCCCATGAACTGAGCTGTGTAATGTGAGAGTGGAAATTTAAAATTTTTGTTTTTGAAATTTCTTTTTTTTTTTTAACTACACTTGGTCAAAACTGTATGTAATAAAAAAGGTGAGCTTACTGTATTTCATTATCAGGGGAATGTTTGTTTGACTTATTATTTACTGACTTACTATTTATTGATTAAGACCCAGACTTTGTGAAGATACATGCTAACCTGTCCAAGACAAATGCAAACTGTTTCTATCCAGTAAAAAAGGATAATCCCAGGCTGGGAGTATAGCTTGGTGGTAGAGAACACTCATCTAGCATGCATAAGGACCTAGGTTTGATCCTTGGCATCATTAAAGGAAAAGGGAGGGATGAAGGGAGGGGAGGAAGGAAGGAAAGAAGGAGATCTTTCTAAAGGTTACTGGTTTTATTATCCTGTAGGACATGAACCAGTTTTATATCTAACATAGCAATCTTATGCTAACATTCTTTTCTCAAGGTCAATATATCCTTAGTTCCTCAAATTCTCTTTGTACCTGTTTTTCCATCTTGTTGGTTCTCTCATTAATGAGATAAATAAATCTCTGACATATGTTTATTCTGTATTTGTATGAGAGTTAAATTTTTCAACTTTTTCTAAATTCTGCTTTGACAGCAGAGTCTTGTGGTGCTCCCCAAACTTGAGTAGCAATGTATCACAGATCAGGGAGTACATGAGAGGTGTTCCTTAGAAAAAACCTGCACATTCTACTCCAGGAGGGGGAAGATATTAGAGACAGAACAGAAACTACTAAAAAAGTCAAAAGTACAAGCATTAACTGGAAACAGTTGGCAGGGACCGAATTTGAGACCAATACCCCAAACAAGCATTTTTTTCCATCTCTTCTCTTATCCCTAAAGAACATATGATGATTGATTTATTTGTTTTCACTCCTTGGCAGCCTCTCACTGACGTTTTTAGCAGAGCTTCCGTGACCCAAAGGATTAGACAAAATAAGCTAGGAGATGCCCTGGAGGCTGGGAAAAGAGCACATTAAAAGGGGGTTGGGGATGGATGTGGTGATCCTAGCCCTTCTGGGTTACATACTTGGATTCTTTCCCAAATTTAGGCACGAGGAGGACTCATGAGAAGTCTGACTATAGGCCAGAGGACACACATGCTGCTATCCCCATCGAGGCCCCAGGGTGGAGCTTGCTGTGGTCTAGCAGCCTGAGACTTTGAGCTCAGAATTTCCACTGCAGCTGGCAACAGCTGGGTCACTGCTGCTTCCTCCTCGGAAGAAGGAGCCCTTCCAAGAGAACCAGGAGTTCTAGTCCCACACTGCGCCTCTTCTTCCGGCCCACCAAAGTTTAGGATCCAGAAATTTTTGCTTCCCTGACAACCCAGGAAAAGACCACTGGAACAAAGGCAGGAAGTTCTTCTGTGTTCTGCACATGAGAAACACCCTTCCTAGAAAGACTTAAACTCCCTGCCCACCAACCACCAAGGTTCTACCTGCCTTCCCTTTTCAGCCTCCCTACTTCACTCCGACAGTTCCAGTCTCTTTCTGGGTTCCTTAACTTCAATCCTACCTGACGTGGGCTATTTCCATCCCCTCAGACACTATTCAGAAGGGCAAAATGGAAGTCTAAAAGTATAGTGAAGTCAAATTGAGTTTCTTCTCTGTCTTGTAATAGGATTTTTGTACCACAATATGTTTAGAATAAGAAATAAAGATAGCCAGGTGCCGGTGGCTCACACCTGTAATTCTAGCTACTCAGGAGGCAGAGATCAGGAGGACTGTGGTTCAAAGCCAGTCAGAGAAAATAGTTCTTGAGACCTGATCTTGAAAAAACCCATCTCAAAAAAGGTCTGATGAAGTGGCTCAAGGAGTGAGTCCTGAGTTCAAGCCCCAGTACCAAAAAAAGAAATAAAGACAAAGCAACCAAGGTCCTAGATTGATTTGTGTCATAAACCAACACTTCTATCATCCCTAGCTCCCCACCCAATTACTAGCCCTAGACTAAGTCCTCTATGTTCTACTTACATGCTTTTCTAATAAGGAAAACTGATATAGGAGGGAGCAGTCTGTTTACTTATTTATTTTCAGTATTGGGACCCAGAGCTTCACACTTGTTAAGCAAGTGCTCTACCACTTGAGCCATGCCCCCAGCCTACCAGTTTTATAAATACATCTACTCACTAGAGATGGGGTTTGTGTGGCCTGGTGCTAGCAAAAAATACATATGATCTGCATGGACCTCAGAAGGTAAGGGGTTGGGCTGGTGGAGTGGCTCAAGTGGTAGAGTGCCAGCCTAGCAAGTGTGAGACTCTGAGTTCAAACCCCAGTGGCACCAAAGGAAAAAAACCAAAAAACAAAAACAAAAGGTAAGGGCTTTATAGAGCACCTTGAATGACGTCACACAACTGCATTTAGGGGCAGGATATTCTGCCTCTCCTCTCTAGGATTTGGAACACCTGGGACTTTTACATACTGCCATGGTAATTTAAATTAGCTTTACCACTTCAGAAAATTATTATCTAAAAAGCTGAACAGGTACATATCTTGGAACTCAGAAATTTCACTCCTGGGTATATACTCAACATTCCCTAAAAGAAATGTTTTAAGTTCACAGCACCCTATTTATATTCATAATAGTCACAAACTGGAAACATCCCAAATGTCTACATCAGTAGAATAGGTAACTATATCCTTATAATAAAAATCTAGGAAGCAAAAAAGAAAAAAAAAATCTAGACAGTAAAATTTTGTCACACACAACATTGTGGATGAGTTTTACAAACACTGATTATCAAAAAAAAAGCCCTTTTATAGGACTTTGTGAGTATATTTATATGAAGTCAAGCAGGCCATACCCCTCTAATATTTAGAAGCCAAATGATAATTTGGGGGGTACAATGGGAGATGGAATTCTGAAGAGTTGATATTGGGGTTTGAATTCAGGGCCTCGCATTTCGCTAGGCGGGTGCTCTTACCACTTGAGCCACTCCACCAGCCCTTTTTCGTGATGGGTTTTTCAAGACAGGGTCTCTCGAACTATTTGCCTAGGGCAGGCTTCAAACCCAATCCTCCTGATCTCTGCCTCCTGCATAGCTAGGATTACAGATGTGAGCCACCAGTGCCTTGCCTTTCTTTCCTTTCATTTTTTTTTTGGCTCTATTTCTTGATCTGGGTATAACAGACTGCTCCCTTTGAAAATTTACTGTACTATATATACTTTCAATTTGTGTATTTTTCTGTATGCTTATTGTACTTCAATAAAGAATTATAAAAGATGGGTAAATACATTAAGTTATTTCTACCTCTCCGTCACTCACTTGCCCAAATTTAATTCTTTCCCTCTCCCTATTAACCTCCCTATCCCATTCCCAGACTTCTTTTTTCTGCGGTACTAGGTCTTGGACTCAGGGTCTACACCTTGAGACACTCCACCAGCTCTATTTTGTGAAGGGGTTTTTCGAGATAGGGTCTTGCAAACTATTAGCTTGGGCTGGCTTTGAACCGCAATCCTCCTGATCTCTCCTAAGTAGCTAGGATTACAGGTGTGAGCCACCAGCGCCTGGCACTCCCAGACTTCTTTTTCTAATTATTCCCTGGAACATATTATTTGATATACATGCTTTTCTGACAGATTAAGTTGAGCTGGGCATCTCTGCACTCCTGCTGCTTTCTGGCATTTCCGACTGGGCTAATTCCTTGGCTGTGTACTTTGTGACTCAGGGTCTTCATGGGTTAGATCCACGGTAACAGTCTTCTCCACGTTCTTTATTCACTAATGTGAGAGATCCTTTGATTCACTAAAAGTATCTCCAGCAGCAGAAACCCTCCAAAGTGCACAACTCAATCAGCTATTCTCACTCTCTTCTATCCTCACTGCCAGCTCTCACTGCATCCGATCAACACCTACAGAGATAATGAACATTTCTATGGTCAAGTTATAAGGACAGTAATCTTTCCACTAAGGCTATCGGTTTGTGGGAGATGCTAGAAACAAAGTCAAATACTAGGCTTCAAAGCCCAGCCCCATCCTGGCTTTGCTCAAAGAAATACTTAAAGGTTGTATGTATATCAGTAGCAGGGAGAATTTTTTTTGTTTTTTTTTTTTTGAGGCAAGGTCTCACTATGTACCCCAGGCTACTTAGTCCTACTTAGTCCAGGTTGACCTCAAACTTGCAATCCTCCCACGTCTGCCTCCTGAGTGCTAGAATTACAGGTGTGTAACACCACCCTCAGCTAAGAATTTTTTTTTAACAGGGGATGCTGAGACTCCTTCAGACTATGGGGAAGAAGCCCAATAGTACTGCATTCATAAGAGCATCTGGAAAGAAGCCAGGATCACCAGATCTGTACTGTCCCTAGAAGCCTACCCACTTGTACTGCAACTTACGGCTGACACAGCTTGACAAGGTCCTGGTCAGTAGTGCCTGGCTGCAGTCCCCGGATGTATAGGTTAGTTTTGCTCAGTTGCTCATTCCCATTGCTCCCACTGCTGCTGTTAGGGGTACTGTTGCTTGGACTAGGTGGTGCCATCTGCTGAGCCAATGACACATATGGCTGTAGGGAGACACAGAGAACAGAAGGTCAGAAGGATTGTACATTTAAATGCTGGAGACTGAGGAAGTTCCCTGGAAAAAAAGCCAATACGAAATGCTAACAGGAAAATAAAAAAAATAAAAGGGCTAAAGGGGCTAAGAGCCCCTTCCTGGCAAGTGCAAAGCCCTGAGTTCAAACCTCAGTATGCCAAAAAAAAAATTTATCAAATCATGAAGGAAATAAATAAGTTGAAACAAAATATGACAAAATAAAAAATGATAACTGTGCTATACCTGAAAGAACTTGAGAATTATTATAAACTTGGACAGTAAGAGGAAATATCAGTTATCACAGCAGGTAGTAAAAATGAAAATTGTTAGCATACTAAAGGGATTTAGTTAAGTTATTCACAAGTTTAAATGAATGAATATTAGATACATTGTAGTCAAGGAACTCCAGGAGTTGGGATGAAATATCTCTAAATTTTTTGCATGTGATACCAAAATGGACAACAGGATCCTGCTATATTTTCTAGATACTTCTGTTAGAGACAAAGGCCAGGCTGGTGCTGGGTGTGGTGGTACACACCTGTAATCCCAGCACTTGGGAGGCTGAGGCAGAGATCACCATCTTGAGGTCAGTCTGGGCTACATAGCGAAAAACAAAACAAAACAAACAAACAAAAACAATAAATGGCCAGGCTAGTTGAAACATAGGTCCTTTCCTTCATGGTGTATTTCATATCCTTGTGTTCTCTCTAATCAGCTTTTAGTGTTTATGTGTACATTTTATTAATAATATTCTACCTAAATTTGCACAATTACCTATAACACAGTGTATTTCACTATATCACACTTATGCTCCCGTTCTCCATTGGCTTAAAGCACTTTGTAGTATACCCCTATTTGGCATTACTTCCCTGGAATATTAGCATCCTGGAGGTGAATGGCCATTTCATCTCTGGATTTTTTTTCTTCTCTCTTTTTGGTGGTGATGGTGAAGACTGGGGTAGTAATGAAAGAAGAAACAAAGAGGACAAATCTCCCCCAAATGAATTAATTAAAGTAAATGTGGCTCTTATATTTCATATCTCTGACCCGTAGCAAACTTCAAAATAAAAATCTGTGCTCAGGCTAAAATATGTAGAAGCAGGTAACTCCCTATTTATCACTATACACAATCCCAGATGTGTACCCACTCTCACACACAGTTTACTCCTTAGTTGTATATTTTAGTAGAGAAGAAATCTAATACCATATTCTTAGACAGCCCAAAGACTTACAATCCTACTCATGGCCCTAAGATCTTGTAGCTCTTAATATCCTTTATGTTTCCTGAGCCTGCGTTTGCCAGCACTGCAATGTCCCATATAGAATGCTGTATGCCAGAGGAAGACATACGATTCTTCTGTAACAACGGTGGTAGTCACATGATGTAATCGATAAGGACAGAGCAGTGCATGGAGCATGTGCATGTTTCTAAGCAACTTTCAGATAACAGGACAAAATAAAGCAAATTAACCTTAACAACATACTGCCAGTGCCAGAAATAGCAGTTCTTACTTTAAGAATCACTCTGAGCTTTTTGCTGAATTTCTAGGTCTGCAACAATAGTCAAAACATAGTGGATCTATGCCCCTCCACTCCTCCTACTACCATATGATTGTACCTTTCACTTAAAATATAGCCAAGAAGATTGTGACCTATATTCTAGCGACCGTTTCTGAGTTCAGAATAAGGAGATCATGGCTGGATATCACTCAGTTAAGGTATGTCCTTACTCAGCCAGCCACCAGCAGCTCACACCTGTAACCCTAGCTACTCAGGAGGCAGATCAGGAGGATCGCAGTTTGAGGCCAGGCTCTGGCAAACAGTTCACGAGACCTTATCTCAAAAAAAAGGGGGCCAGTGGAGTGGCTTAAGTGGTAGAGCACCTGCCTAGCAAGTGTGAGGCCCTGGTTTCAAACTACAGTGCTGCAAAAAAAAAAAAAAAAAAAAGCAAGATTTGTCCTCACTCATCTTTAAGGAGTTATGGATTTTTTTGTTTCTCCTGATGGGACTGGAGACTGAACTCAGGGCTTCACACATGAAAAGCAGGCCCTCTACAGCTTGAGCCACACCTCTAGGCCATTTTGCTCTGGTTATTGTGGAGGCTGGGGTCTCACAAACTATTTGCCCAGTCTGGCCTCAAACTTCAATCCTCTAGATCTCTGCCTCCCAAGTAGCTAGGATTTCAGGTTTGAGCCATCAACCCCCAACTCTGTTACTGCCCTTTAACTGAAAAAACAGAGTTGTTTCTCCTGAACATGTGATTCTAGGTCTAGGGTGTTGATGGTGATTATGATGAAGTTAGCAGCAATAAAGATAATAAAAGCAACTCTAGAAGCACCCTATGTGCTACACGTGGGGAGACGCAGTGCTCACTGACCTCAGGGCTTGTCTATACCCTCTCCCACTGTAAGAGACTATTTATTTTTCATTTCTTCCTTTTTTTTTTTTTTTTGGTGGTGTTTTCAGACTGGGTGTCTCACTATGTAGCCCAGGCTGGCCCCAAACTCACAATCTTCCTGATTCTGCCTCTCAAGTACTGAGAATACAGATATGTGCCATCATGCCAAGTGTAATGATAGAATATTTCCTTTCTTTGTTTTCCTTTTTTGGGTACTGGGATTTGAACTCAGGGCCTACACCTTGAGCTACTCCACCAGCCCTTTTTTGTGATGGGTTTGTTTTTTTTTTAAGATAGGGTCTCGAAGATTATTTGCCTGGGCTGGCTTTGAACCTCAATCCTCCTCATCTCTGCCTCCTCAGTAGCTGGGATTACAGGTGTGAGCCACCTGCTCTCCTTTACTTTTTTTTTGGGGGGGGGAGTACCAGAGTTTGAATTCAGGCCTTCTACATGAGCCACACCCCCAGCCCTCTTTGCTTTTAGTTAGTTTTCACATAGGTCTATGTCCAGGGCTGGCCTTGGACACCAGTCCTTCTATCTCTGCCTTCATCCACAGCTGGGATTATAGATATGAACCACCACACCCAGCTTTTTGTTGAGGTAGGGTCTTGCTAACTTTTTACCTGGGCTGGCTTCAAACCATGATCCTTTTATCTCTGCTTCCCAAGTAGCTGGGATTACAAGTATGAGCCACTGCCTCTGACAAAATGATAGAATATTTCTAAAAGAAAGTATCAGTGATGTCACTCAAACAAAAATACAAGAGTCATTGAGGAAAGACACAAATTGGAAAGAAGCTATTGGTATGCTACCATGGCTACAATCTTGATTTTAATACAAATGTCTTAGCTATAACCTAGAAATATGACTTAGTCAATAATACACTTGCTGCAAGGCAAGAAAAGTTTCTAGATAAAAAGGATACAGTTCAGAAGAAAAAAAAAGTATTACCTCTTGCTATTTCCAAATTGAAACTGCTGCATAGGTCTGACACCAAAGGAAAATGATAGAAAAAATTCACTTTGAAGAGTAAAAGAAATTAAGAGGGAAAAAAAGGTGAGAAAACTCCTAATTAAAGTCTGTCTGACTTCTCGTAAGAAAGATGATACATAGGAAGACCATATAAACCAATCATGTTTACCTACGAATTAAGAAAGAGGTAGTATCTGTGTGTGTCCAGAGAACTGAAATTTTCTTTTTTGTGTGTGTGTATGGTACTGATTTTTTAACTCAGGGCCTCCCGCTTGCAAGGCAGGTGCTGTGCCATGTGAGCCACTCCACCAGCCCTGAGATATTTTTACTAAAGGAAGAATACAAAGAAGGTGTGGTTTCTCCAATGTTCTACACTGGATTAATAAAATTCAGAAATCCTGTATCCTTTCATTTGCAATCAAAGTCACCTCCACCCTGGGCCCCAACCTTCACTATTGACCATTATAGCAGGAGAAAATCATGCTACATCTGATATCTAGCTAAGTTTCTGGCATGTAGTAGGCATAGAAACTTGTCAAAATGAGTGAAATAAACTTAAGTAATTTGCTAACTGTGTATCATCTTAAATTCCTAAAAATGTCACGATGTCACAGTTCGGTGACTTGACATCAGAATTCCTATTGCAACCTAGATATGAGTGATCTACAGGACATTTTCCTAAAGCCAGTGGCCTCTGTGGCATGTGAACTATATGAACACTGCTTGGATTCCAACTCTTAAATAATAAAAATGTTATTATTTTCAGAGAAAGATCACTTTCTCTGAAAAGTAACAGACCCCCTAATAATTTCTCATGAGACAGTCTGCACTATTTTAATCATCCAACAAATACTTGAATTGCCAACTATGTGCAAGCATTGCTTTATCTTATGTTAGGTATTTTCAAGAGAGTCTGGAAAACTGTTTGCATGGGCTGTCTTCGAACCATGATCCTCCTGATCTCTGCCTCCTGAGTAGCTAGGATTACAGGTGTCAGCCACAGGTGCCCAGAGAGAGAAAAGTTTCTTAAAGAGATTTGTATTGCACCTTCAAAGTATGAGCAGGACAGTAATTTATTTATTTATTCAGTAGTCAGTCATTTATTTATTTGGTGGTACTGGTGTTTGAAATCAGGGCCTTGGGCTTGTGAGGCAGATGCTCTACCACTTGAGCCACACGCCCAGACAGCACAACAAGCTTTTATTGGAGAATCATCAGGGAATTGCAAATCAAAACCCAAATAAAAGGACTGGAACATGGTTCAAGTGGTAGAGCACTAGAAGCAAGAGACCCCAAGTTCAATCTCAGTACCACCAAGAAAATCAAATAATAAAATCCCAATGAGACACTACTTTATACTCACTAGGATTTCATAATCAAAAAGAGATAATAACTAAGAGAATGAACTGGAACCCTCATACTCTGCAGTGAGATTATAAAATGGAAAACATTTTGGCAGTTCTTCAAAAAGTTTAACATAGAGTTACCACTTAATATTGGAATTCCACTCTTAGCTATGCGCCCATGAGAACTGAAAACATACAACCCTCTCAAACCAGGTATGGTGGTACAGGTCTGTAATCCCAGCTACTTGGGAAGTG